CCATTGCGTACGCACCGATTTTGAAGTGAGTACGTAGCAGATCCTGAGTCCTAACTCGGACGTGCGACACAAAGATACGGTGTGTACAGCGGAGTTCCAAAATGGTCTGATCCGTCACGTTACCGCGTCAAGGACGGGACGTAGCAAACTGTAGTACTTGAGCCACAGTTGAACTCCTGGACACCCTCTACTCAGCTTGAATGACGCTGTGGTACTTTGTATCATATGTGGCACAATTTCCTTGCATGTGTCTTGATATCGCAGTCAAAGATGGAAACTGATGGACGTGTATCTTTGGGATGGCAGTCTCAGGGTCTTCGGTTCTCTCAGCATTTCCACGGAATCGACTCGGAGGGGAAGCCTCCGACAGAGTATTTGTGTCTGGGTTTCATTGGTGTACAATGCTCTATAAGTATACACTTCAGTGCGTGCATGCACAGTACCCCCGTATATTCCTTTCATCCGTCATGATATCGCAGTATCTCTGCTCTCCATCGCTTTTCTGTACTGTACCAACATTTCCACGCTGATCATTTTCAGGCCCCATCGATCGGCAAACGACCGGCAATCATCACGCCGCGCCATGGTGCCCAACGCATCGTCATTCACGAGCTCGCATAACACACCCCCTAGAGGTTGATTGGTGAGGGCGCACAAATCGACACCAGTTTCCGTATGTCCTCTGCGTTCTAGAACGCCACCATTTTGTGCTCGCAAGGGTACCATATGCCCTGGGCGACTGAAATCGGACGCAGTCGAAGTGGGGTCGACTAATTTGCGGACTGTGAGAGATCGGTCATGGGCGGAAATGCCTGTTGTGGTTCCTATGTGTGTACCTTTTCAATCATGGGATGAACCCAGGAGAGAGAAAACAGACCATGTTTATAGTCCACGGTGATGGTGTAAGCAGTTTTGTGTCGCTCCTGATTATTGGGGACCATCATGGGAATTTCGAGCTCATTGAGACGCTCCTCAGGAAGAGAAATGCATATGTACCCGCTAGAATGGACATGAAAACAGAGCGCTTGAGTGCAAAGGATTCATACCTCGTATGCTTGATCATCCATGCCATGGCTTCGACGGAACATTGACTCGCGGAAATAATGATATCGCCTTCGTTCTCTCTTCGCTCGTCATCCATGACAACAATGGCTTCACCCCGCGAGAATGCATCAAGCGCCTCCTCTACGGTATCAAATACAGTGGTTCTCGGCGTGACATCTTTAACTTGAGCGGGAATCCAAGTAGGATTAATGGAGCCACTGCATGCGGCTCCATTCGCTTTGGCAGGCGCGTGGTGCTCGGGCACAGCGCATTGAACCGTGGCAGTGGGCATTGTAGTAAAGAAACCTGCGAAATACTTTATCATACTGTGTGATTGGATATTATAGGGAATACCGGACTCACCTCGAAACGTCATTTTACTTCCCGCAACTTGACATTGGCTGTTCAAACGTTCAATCCGGCAGATGTGACGTGGACGTGCGGAAGCCGTTGATTTATATGTAAAGCGTAGCTAGTTCTCTGCAACGCTCATCTTCAGCAGGTGGAGAGAATGCGATAAATACGTGAAAGTCTTAGAAATATTAAAGCCGAAGCAAAGCCGGAAAGCCTGTGTTTGTGGCGGCTTTAGCCTCAATAAAATTTGGGCCGCTCTAACACGGCAGTCACACCTATTTCTCTTACCTCAACCTCGGAAACCCGCATTTGCTGGGACAGGTTCCTTCAATCAAGGACCTCTATAGATATTTTGTCTAGAGTCTTATAAAATATTAACGATGGCACATTTGGCACCAACGGGTAAATGGGACGCAAGGTATTTTCTTGTCTTGTTTTCGTGTTGTGTCGGGTTGGTTTGACCTCGTCCTGTTCGAAGATACATCGGTCCCGTCCCTCATGACTCTGCATACTATGCCAAGTGCATGCTCGGTGGTGTCCTCGCATGCGGTATCACTCACGCCGGCATCACGCCTCTTGACGTGGCCAAGTGTAACATGCAGGTCAGTTTATCTAGCCCTTCCCGGCTCCGTGGTCTGATAGCTTTGTGAACAGGTGAATCCTGCAAAATACAAGGGTCTCACGTCTGGTCTCGCCACGCTCGTTCGCGAGGAGGGTCAGACCGGTATCTGGAAAGGCTTTGGTCCCACTTTCCTCGGTTACTCGTTACAGGGCATGTTCAAGTATGGTCTCTATGAAGTGTTCAAGGACCAGTACATGAACTTGGCTGGCGAGGAACTTTCTAACAAATACAAGCCCGCTATCTGGCTCGCTGGTTCTGCATCAGCAGAGGTCTTTGCCGATATTGCGCTCTGCCCTCTCGAGATGACCAAGGTTAAGATCCAAACCAGCCCTACCGGCACATTCCCCACTTCCTTTGGAGCCGCCCTCGCAGAGATGAACAAGACAAAGGTTGAGACCCGCTACCCCTTCGGTTCCCTTGTTCCTCTATGGTCTCGTCAGGTTAGAGCTCCCGTTCTTCTGTTCTGATTCCATGTTACTCACCACTTTCTAATAGATCCCCTACACCATGGCCAAGTTCTTCTTCTTTGAGAAGATCGTCCAGCTCTTCTACACTCGCGTCTTCACCGAGCCCAAGGAGTCCTATGCGAAGACCACTCAGCTTGGAGTTACTTTTGCTTCTGGTTATCTCGCTGGTGTTGTCTGCGCTATTGTCTCCCACCCAGCTGACACCGTCGTCTCGCTCATGGGCAAGCCTGCAAACAAGGGCAAGAGCATTGGCACCATCGCATCGGAAACTGGCCTTGTCACACTTGCAACCAAGGGTCTCGGCACCCGTGTGTTGATGATCGGTACTCTTACCGGTACGTCATCGTTGCACTATTTTGAAATCACTAACCAAACGTAATTTACCAAGGCTTCCAATGGTGGATCTACGACTCCTTCAAGGCATCGATGGGTCTCGGCACCACTGGTGGCAAGTAGATTGCGCACTTTTCTGCACTGATAGTTAGTGCCTACATCTCGTTTTTGATTCACCATCTAATTTACCATGGCAGGAGGACATATATTAGACGTTGGTTTCCAGTATACAGCAGGTTTACCTGATTTATTCCCTCTTGCTATTCCTTTACCCCGTACCTCAGACGCTCTTTTTTGCCATGCAATAGACCACGATTGTGTTACGACCAGTACCGCCTCATCCTCCTCACACGTCCGTATCACCTGGGGCAATCAAGCAAATCCGAAAAACATAAACCGAGGAAGATCTCACCCGAGATCCGCCGAACGTTGCTCGGATATTCAACCGAAATGCATACGCAAGCATCTCGGCTTCGGCAGTGCTTAAATCCGTCCCACGTCAGGGAGCGCGATAATTATAACTTCACTTGGATCGACTGACAGTCCTACTTAGTGTGGGGTGAACGGCTCTGGCACATGCATCGCCCATGGGCGATATATCTGCGACATTGGCAAAATGCTGTGGAGATGCTCCGTGGTTGTTGCGGCACTCTCATAGACTCTTATCTGGACACTTGTGAACTGTTATTAATCCGCATTCGAACCAGGCATTTCTCTGCCTTTCGGGGTCTCGAGAGCGCAACGGAGACTACCGGGTCCGCACTATAAAATATTCACCGATGCGCACAGTTACTTACGATTCTCGACGTGGTGCGGGAGCGTGACCAAGACAACAGAGGCCAACTGTGACGAAGGGCTGGTCTGAGCATTGAGCCTAGGTCTCAGATGAAATCCGGTCATCGCCTGGTTACTGCGTAGGAGGGGACAATGATTATGAAGGGGCGCGAGAATGACGGACGGACTCGTTGACATTTTGGCGTGACGCGAGTAAATGTTTAAGCTATATAGCGGGAAGTGAATGAAAATAACTTGGTATGGTGAGCCTCAGTTGGCCTCAGTGCACTCACAAAATACATGCGTGTGTTGGTGGGCATCGGAACTGAGTGGAGTTGGCCAATATTGAAGAGGAAGTAGTCTCAAGTAGTTGACAATGTGACATATATGACAAGCGAATTTTCAGAGAAGGCCCGAGCTGGGTCCCCGTTCAAATCGCAGCCTCAAAGTTCGAACAAAGTTAATGCTATACGCAAGTCATCGCCGGGTCTTCGGGAACGTCTTGCCTTCCAATTAGACAACAGGAATTTGCGAGAGCTGCGTCTACCTGGATAGGTTTTTGGAAGAAGATTGATCCATGATCCATGGTTATAAACAGTTATACACGCGCCGTGGTGACGTGTGATAGGTTTTGCGGATTCGACGAAAACTAGGCAACAAATTTACGGTGTTGCTATCGTAATGAAGACAAGGACTCATTCCGGCCAGAGGATCGTCAAACAGCAATAAGGAATAGAACCTACAAGTTTGGTGTAAATCGGTGGTCAATGTTGTAACAGGGTCATGGAAGTGGAAGAGGACCACTTGCCATGACGCCTCCCACGTAGTCCTGTGCATAAGTAATTGGACCGCGCCGCGGCAGGGCAGCCTCTTCAGCGGCAGGTCATTTGATTCAGCATTCGTTTGTTTCCGAGGAATCGTGATCCAAGCGGCAGCAGGTGAAGTCGCCGATCATATAAGTTCGGGAATAGACGAGCTCATGTGTGAATGGAGCAAATTCGGAAGCACTGTCCGAGTTCTCGAGTGCGTGAAAAGGTAATATCGCACGCTCTAAGTTCTCCTGAGTTGCACAATCACTGCGGAAACGAGTTTTTTACACCAACCGTAATCCGAGGGAGACAATGTGTATAACACGACTGTAAACGTACCTAGCTCGTAATCAGACGTAAATTCGACATGTCGCAAATTTTGCTCGCTCGGTCTGAAGCAACAGATGTAAACAGACACTTTTCCAACTTCACCAACACACTTTTTCGGACCTCCGTTTATTCTCTTCAGATACCTGCTATTCCACCACTATCCAGCCCAGTAAATTCAACTTCTCGATGTCTGCTTAGGGTAGACTTGAAGCAAGGTGAGTTTTTCGAAAATTTCGCTAAGTCCGTAACTCGAGCGCTATGTCAAATACTATCAGGCTCGAGTTGCCAGCTCATGTACAAGCTTTTACTTTTACCTTCGAAACGATGCGTCCGGGACCCACGGTGAGTACTAAGTGTATTTCTACGAGGCCACTACCATTAATCATTCTTTTGTAGACTGTTTCACTCTCAATTCAACAGCCTGCCAGACGTCCTAGGCTTGTCGCGCACGATATCGAAATGGTAGACAGCAGCGTGACAGAACCTGAGTCACCCGAAAAGCAAAGAGTTGTCCGTTGGCAGATTTTTAATTCGTTCTTTTCTAACACGAACCTCATGCGAAGAAACGTGCGTTTGTGGTAGCGAGCTCCTTATCGGTGTGCTGTGCGTGTTCGGTCAGTCGTTTGACCTCTGTGACAAGATGTGCAACGGTCTCATTCAAATTTGGCGACTGCTCAAGTGCCCCATTTCGCCTATTCACGTTCTGGTTCACGTGCGGAAGGTGAGTGGCAGGCTGTCGACCCATTGAATATAGCATCATAGCTTGATACTCCTCGCTTCCAGGAACAACAGATGGTGCCCGCGAAGATGCCTCACTACCCGAGTCTCCTGCGAAATGACGGTATGGTGTTTCACCTCGAGAGGATGTACTATTTGAGCTGAAATTCTGTGGCACGCTACCAGCTCGCATGGACTGGACGGGTGTCTGGTGTGCACCGAAAAAAGGATACGGGGATGGCTGACGCATATCGGGTGAGTGCTGCGGACTGGTGGAACGAAGCCTATTGTTTAAATGATCTTGGTACATAGGTCCCCCAGCGAATGCGCCGCTGGTGTTGTGGTCACCGTGCTGTCCATTGCCTGACTGAATCGCATCCAGTAAGTCGCTTGACTTTTAGTGGGCGATCTACAAGCTCTTACCATCTCAAATCGAGGTACATTACCACTGAAGTATGGATCGTGTTGAGGCGGCTGATGCGACACTTTCCCGGCGACCTGGGGTATATTATATTGAGGATATGCTTCTCCTGCCCCTACCAGTGCTGGCTGCTGAGAATCAGGAGCGGGAGCACCACTCGGGCGTCTCTGAGTCTGTTGGCCTTGGAACCCATACATTCTGGCGTGCAAGGTGGTGGGGGATATCAAGGACCGGGGAGCATATGTGGGGACCTAGCGGGACGAGTTCTTTGATACGGCACATGTCTATTCAGAATAGAAGCGGATCCGTTTATGCATAAATCCAGACATAAAGTAGACGTGCGAATCCTTATAACCTGGTCTGATACCGAGTTGGTTTAGATACTAAGGCAACAAACCCTATCCCTGCAAATCCCTAATATTCAGAGTCGGTTTTAGTTCTCAAACGAGTACCTTTTTCGATCTAGACGGGTAGGAATATGCTTGTTTGGCATTGTCCGTTTACATTCCGTTTACAGCCTCTAAACATACATAATTCCGATCCGTTCTAAATCTCGTTTCCGCAGTGAATATTGCAATACGAGGAGTCACCCTGACACCCCGTCGGACTCATACTTGACGTTAAATAACGTGGCAAAATTCAAGATCGTGGCGTCGGAGGGCGTCGGCGGGTTGGTCGTTTGCTACCCGAGACAGTGCTGAAATTAATTTGGCAAGCGAGACCGCAGGCAAATGCCATGCGAGTCGAGCGTCGGGGACCGGGGTGTAAGCATTCCGAAGCCCAATTGCCCGCGTGAGAGATCAAGAGTGAGTGGTACCAGCGCTACCCGGGCACGTTTATGCCGCGAGAGAAATGTCAAGGCCTTCGGCGTCATAACTGGTTATTATTGACCTCCGAGTCTTGGGAAGGGAAACCCTTTTTGTTACAAGACACAATTACAGTTGTCAGTTGCGCGGGTCGCTCTGAATGATATGGATTTACATACGACATGGTATGCGCCGTGCACGTGTAAGGAAGTTGGCTGGCTCGAACCAGTCCCCATGACGACTGTAAGGGAGATTCGGTTCAGGTAGAACATGCTGCAAAAACGTGTTTATTATATGGATGCTCATCTGATACAGGCCTGGGCTCAGCGAGTCCTATATATATGCAACCTTACTAGAATTGATTGATTGGCCCAACGACGAATTATTTTCCCACCGGGACGGTTCTGATAAGTGTCCTCTGAAACCTTTGAATGCCAAAGCTGTGATAGTATAGTTCTCGACACTTGGCGATGCGCTTCGTAGGGTAGAGACGCGACATTCGGGTTCCAACGTAGATGGAAGCGACGGTCGGCGGCTAATATTGATATTAATACACATACGATCAATCACAATGATAACTCGGTCTACGAGTTCATTTGCATTGAATATTGAAGAGCATGTGGTTCATGCTTGGCGCTGAAAAGATATTGACGTGTCCCATGTCTATAGCATTCTTTATCTTGCGCTCCGCGGAAGCAAAAATTGGAGTCTCCGATAGTGACTTTTGCTAGATTTGTCAAGGCTTCGTTTCACCAGCAATTTCAATGACTCCACGTTGCCAGGTAGAGCATATGGGCGCGGTATCGAGACCAAATGATTAGAATCAAATTAGAGATACGAGGTTTTTCGTGGTATACAATGTAACGGTATGCGGTCCTGTCTTGTTTCAAATCGGCGCCGGCTCTAAATTATGTGACATGACCCTGCCACCGGCAACGCACCGGTATCCTGGCTCAAGGCTGCGCCAGGACTCAATTGTGAACATGTGAAGGTACGAAAGATGACAAAAAAGTCAGGAAACACGCTTTGGAGCGTCTATCCGATCACTCGTGACGACGCATTGCTTTTTCATTATAAAGGACGATCGTCTCACCTCTTGTTTTCACCTTACCCTTGTCTTCGTGCACACTTTTCTTCTTATCCTTTTCTGTGATGCACTCCTCTTATTCCCCTCTTTTCACTTTAGGTCTTCTTGCGGAACGACGGGCGGGTATCTCGTCTCCCAACCGTAAACAAAGCATCCCATCTAGCTCGTGTTCAGGCGCTCCCCACAAAGCACACCCTGCTGCTGCTGCTGATGATCATGCCTCGGCCTTTTACTTTACTTTACAAACAGGACAAAGGGATACCGTTGAATTTCGGTCATTCTTGTCCCTCGACCTCGCAGACTCTAATCGGTCGATTGCCAGCCATAGGCGCAAGCCGTCCACCATGTCAAAGTCCACCAGTTGGACTTGTACATCCGATATAACATCAGCTCGTGACTTGTCGTAAGTTTAGCTTGTGCATTTTAATTGTTCCCAGTGATACTGACTTCTGGTGTCTGAAGACGAATCGAAAGACCCGCATTTGCCCTTCTTCCACCATTACCTTCAGCATGTGCGCTTCGCCGATCTTCTCGTGAATCTTTGAGGCAGATACCCTCTCCTAAACCTGCTCCGATATCCTCTACCTTACCTGAGCCCCCAACGGCCCCGAACTCCTCCCCTCCATCCAAGTCGCTTCCGTCTGCGACCAACCCATCATTCTCAGCTCCCCTGCTATCACCCACCGTCTCGTCAGGAAAAGTGTCATCGCTACGCTCCTCATCGATCACTTCGCATCAAAGGCGAAAAAGTCACATGGATGCTCTGGCATGTCTCGAGGGCCGCTCTCGTGCTGCTAATCGCATCCCGAGGTCGAATCTGAGAAACAACTTCATGAGCATGAGCGATGATGAGGATGACGACCCCAAGACGCCCTCGTCACTGCCAAATGCTCCCTTCATTCAAATCGAAGATTTCGGTTCCTTCGCAGACATCGAAGATGAAGGAGATGTGATTGCCTCATCTCCCGAATATCGTTCCCCCAAACAAGCCACTTTCCCCCGTACAGTCTCGCAGCCCGTGAAGCGACAGCGAAGAGGCACTGTCGACTCATGGTTCCCTCTCAAAAGTTTCATCGATCTGAAAGATGATGACTTATCGTGGAACTGGCGGAGCTTCATCGAGATCAGTAGCGTCTGATAAGGCAGCTCTTCCGTATGCTGGATCTTACATGTGCATATCTTAAAAAACTCTTATTCTGATATCATACCTTGCAGCCCAAGCACACAGGATGTGTCCTTCTTCGTGCGTATCTACATACACCATCACTTATTATCTATGAATACCTACAGCCTTTTAATTTACTTCACTCAGACATTTACTTCTTCCATGTTCATGATTCAACATTGTAGTCTACTCATTACATGCACTCAAGCCATTAGCCATACACACATCTTCACTTTCTGACCCATCGTTTGCCTCCTCCCTGCATATGTACTTCGTTCTGGCACTTTCAGTTACATGGCTCCGACACAGTGTGTCGTAATCCATCTTGGTTTAGTCATTCATGGACCCATCAGCTGAGGGATTCGCCCTCCATTGTGCACGGACTGCGTCCCACCGCAAAGTGATTAAGGTGACCAGTTGTGCTAGTGCGCCGCCAAATTAACATCACTCGATCGCCCTGAGGCACAAACGAAGATAATGATCGCTGCCGTCACCCACAAGACGGTTCCGCAGAAGATAACGACCTGTGGCTCAGCAATTACGGCAAGTACGTAGTTTACGCCAAGGCGCAGTTTTTTGCCCCACGACCGGAAACACGTTGAGGTGTGTCCGAAGCGCTGATTCACGTCAAGACTGACACTGACAGCGCTTCGCGAGCGCGAGTCCTGCCTTTCGGGCGCAAGCGCGATGCCCCACGACTATCGATCAATCGATGTTTAGCGGGTCTTAGTAAGTCTTGGTAGCTGGTTTCATTATGATGACGGCACTCATACTGAGTACTGATCCTCTGTCCTCGGAAAATGAAAGTCTATTGTGCGGCTATCTAATCTACGCGCGTCCCAGGCCTTGCCTCCACACGTTAAGGGTTACCACGAAGAACGCGTCATTTAGGGTCGACGCTGACGTGCCTACACGCGCCCACTACGCCGCCAACGCCAACGCCAACGCCCACCGACGGGTACTACGGAACAAATATGTACTGATGGCCGGCACAGCAAACTATAGATATTTCGACTCCCGGTGGACAATAAAATTGGTGCCTGAGTATACCTATGTCCTCTTTCGGTGAGGATAACACAGCAGATCACAGCCAGGATTGCACAAGAGCAGTCTGAGTTGGACTCAAACCTCTCCATCAAATTTACCGTGATATGCCATCAGTAATGACAGCACTCGGCGCGTATACTTGGCGAGCTAGGTACTGAAACCTACCATCCGGAACTCCTCGGAACTCTTGAACAACTAGCTGTCAAACGTAGCGATGATGATGATCCGGATCATTCCCAGCAGACAGTGGAAGGCTGAAATAGGTGTCGCGGACAAGTCTGAGGGCAGTGCGCGGAAGCGGAGCATGTCGTTAGTCCCCACATTGGAATTTAGGAAGACGAATGCGATGGTACTCGTTTGCATATCAGCAATGTAAGGTATAGCATACATATCCTCGAAGAGTTGAAATAAATTAGATTCTACACCGCAATGTGCATTGCCGTTCAACGGCAGTGGAGCGTAAGGAGATGTCCAACAAGGTGGTAGGGTTCACCTCCCAAGTAGTTTAGCGAGCAGCCCAGCCGAGGATAGCGGTGATGGAGAAACAGGGGGTTCGAGATGTTGAGGGCTAGATGAGTAACGGACACGGTATGTCACCGGGTATGTCCCATGATTCGAGTGCCATTCAGGTGGCGGAGCCCCACGGTACATCGGGCGGGGAGGCAGTGGAGGAACCGAATAGAACGCAGGGTTGTTGAGCTGTGAGGGTGACGGTTTGTGTGAATGCGATTGGTGCGGATGTTTGCGTGGGTGCTGCGATGTCGAAGCTGGATGTGGATAGGCATGGGAAGCGAGTGCTGGCGCACTAGACTTTGACCGAAGCTTTGCCTTCTCTGTCGCATGCTCTTTCTCGTGCTTCTTCCTCTCCTTCCGCTCCTTGTCACTTGATTCTTTAACTTTCTTTTCTCTCTCCTTGCGAGTTTCCTTGTTCAATGCACCCGAGGCTTCTCCAGGGCGGATGAGAAATTTAACGCTCCTTGGCCGTAACTCGGGCATGTCGATCTTACTTAGATGGACTACCATATTGTTCGGCGGGGTATAATCCTTGCCTTTCCCTTTGTCTTTATGATCGTCCAGGTTAATCGTTTTCGGGCCCTTGGGTGGTATCTGAACTGTATCATACAAAACGTACTGATGAAGATCTTTCTCGCCTAAAAGGCTTGAGAAACGGGAGCGGTTAAAAGTCTAGAAACTTACCCGCTTTGTGCCGGATACGTTTTGTCTCCTCGACTACTTGCAACACTTTGGGAACCTGGGTTGCGTCTGAAGAGCGTATGGATATAAACAGCATCGCTTCATCCTGAAATCCAACTTGTTATTCTGTATCCGTTTGTACGAAAACGGTCAATCGCACCTGCAGCATCCGTGCGCAATACTGCGCGTAGTCCTTAAAAGAACATTCATTGACGATCAAGATCTCGTTGACTTCGCCCCTCGATGCCTGGATTTCGGCGATCCTTCCTACACCTGTCTTTGGCGCGGGTTTTGGTGGTGGGACAGGCGGAGAGGATGTTGGTCCACCTGATACTTTGCGCGTAGTCATATCTGTAAGATTCTTTAGAACTGAAGTAGTCGTAGGAAGAACAGCAGGGGGTGTCGTTGGATTGCTGTCGTTGGGTGACTCGTGGTACGAATCACTAGCATCTTGAAAAGTGAGCAATGCAGTCAGGATAACGATCTCCAGCCCTTTTCGATCTTCTATATCAAACCTGTTTACACCATCATCAGTAACGCTGCAAGGACTCTTATGTTCAATCTCTAGCTCACCTATTGAGATTGTAATCTAGAATCTGGATGGATGATGTCTTTATTCTACCCGGAGGCTCCTTGGTCACAGCAACCAAGACCGGAGGGTCGGGCTTTCTAATCATGTAACACTCCTCTCGTTTCCACTCGAATTCGTGTCTGCCATAGTATGACTAAGTTCCCATGATAGCTGCTTTGTTTAGGAACTCACTCTTCCCATTTGAAGGACCATCGGAAGGTGAGGGTCCCGGTATATTTCAGCTCAATGGCTTTCGAGGGATTGTATAATTCCACCGTTTTGTGTTTACTTGTTGCACTCGGAGAAGTAGCGGAGGCGAGCAGAGAGTCTGAGATGGGCTCTGCCACAAGATAAATCAGTTGTCGATCGGCCCACGTGGAATACACACACACCATACACCTCGATTCTATATACCTGCCCGGGTATACGTCGTTTGCGATAGTGTACGTTTCCCGAAGGGTCGGTGAGGTCAGTCACGAGTTCATTTGGAGCAGAGGCATTCGGCGTAAGAAGGAGTGTGAAAAGATTTTGGTCCAAACTCATGGTAGATCAAGCAGCTTCCAAGCTCCCAGCTCCACCAAGCCTAGGGCCCAAAGTTAGTCCGGTCAATGGCAGCTGGCCACAGAAACGTGGTAGCAAGTGTTGGGTGTCGCACGTAAAGGCTCAATTGCCCAGTTATAGTACGGTCGTTGGCTTGAGAAAGGTCGACGATGCGCAGCTTGCTGGCGTGGTAGTTAGGAAGACACGGGGTAGAGTGCTGCGGATATGAGGCATGCGCTGTCTAATACGATATAAATTTACAGCTTCAAGCTGTCATGCTGTTCAACGTATCCTGAGCATTCTCAGGCTCGAGCGCTGGTGTGCGCATATAGTCCAAACTCCCTTGCTTCCATATGTACTACGATCATAATGATGAACGAGCTGACTACGACTTTCATGTTATTGCTTACATAACCAATGATTCTGCCTCTTTACCTCACCTCTGGCCTAGGCCTCGATTAATCAACGCTCAACCTCGAGTTGCACAGTCAGTGATGAAGAGCAAGTCTTATTTCTTGGCGAGCCTAAGAGAGTCCTCGCAAGGCGGTCAAGGATTCTACTGTAGACAATCTGCGATTAGGGATGCTTGATCAAATTGATGTGTGAGCAGAATTATCACCAACTATTGTCACCTCTCTTTTGCGCTCAGTACGTGTTCTGAGAAAGGTGTTTCATCGCTTAACATGTCCAGGTTCCTCATTTGCATCACAATGCTATCCCCCACCCCTAGTTAATACAACAGTACTGATTCTCCGTGTCACCGTAGTAGTTGCAATGTTTGATGTCCCCGACATATCCCTGGCATGGATCCCCCCCACACGGCCCCCAAGTGCATGAGGCGTCAGTGGTATCTGAGCCGGGCATGGCTCGTGCACTAAGAGGATAGATAGCTGTTAATGCCAGGAGAATGGTCGTCAAGAAATTCATCTAGACTAAGATCATCGCTGTCATAAGTCGGATCTACAGGCAGGTGAGTTGACCCTTACCGTCAAAAAGCGCGAGTCTATGACCAGTGTCAAGTTAATCGCGAGGGTTGTTTTTTCGTTCGTTGTTCGTCAGTTTTATGCTGATTCGCTTTATAGTTGCTACTCGTTAAAATATCAATCTGTAGGTTCGAAAACGAAATTTACGTGCTTGATCATGAAGGTAGAGGCTTAACCATGAGCCGGCCGAGTGCGGAGCAAGCCAATGACACAAACATACGCACTACCACCACCTCTTCATTTTCTGGGATAAAACCGAGCCGCGGGCAGTCGAAGCTGGAAAACCCACTGCCTGAAGGTAGGGTTCTGGTCAACAAATAATTGCTATTCCAAGCACTGCGATTCGGACGAATTAGACCCTTCATCAACCTCCCTTGCAGGGCTGACGGTCGCATGGTCATCAAACTAAATCGATTGAGAACCCGATATCTGTCAGCTCTTTCGTACTACACCTCGAATCCACTCATGCCATGGTACCAAGCGCCTCCGTGACTTCGTGTTGCGGGACTCTCGGAGACAATATAGAGTTCGCTGGCAGTAAATCAGACGGCTGAACCTTGGTTTTGTACAGGCATAGTCGGGGAACGCCCTTGGACCAAAATGAAATCATATATTACTTGGAATATCTATCATCCTCGTTGTCAGTGCCCACAAGACTACCTTCAGGCAGTGTGATGTTCCAGCTTCGTCCACTTGCGGCATAATCTTATTCCTGAGCTTGCTCTACACTCAGCTGGCTCTCGGTTAAGCCTTTACCCTTGTATTTTCATGATAGGCTGGCTTGAATGCTGTTTTCGAACTTACGGATTGATATTTTAACGGACAGCAGCTATATTAATGTGTGTACAAGTGACAACGAATGAAAAACAGACCTGCGCATTAGCTTGACTCGCACTCTTAAACGGTAGGGGTCAATTCGTCAACATGTACTTAGATTCGATTTATGACACTGATGGTCTAGATGAATCTTTCGACAACCATTCTCCTGGTATTAACTGCTGTCAGTCCTCTTAACGCGCGAGCCATGCCGGGTCCAGACACGACCAGCATCCCATGCACTTGGATAACGTGTGGGGAATTTTGCCCCAGATATACTGCGGACTACAGAGGTTGCGGCTCAGACGAAACCCTGTCGTATCAGTACTGCTGTGATTGATGACCGCCATGACGGAGGAGGTTGTGGTGCTAGTAGCAGTGTGGCGAAAAAGGGGTTCGGAAATGTCAACAATTAAATAACCAATATGCCATGGGTTCTGAAATACAACATTGACTTGGAACCATGGCATGAGTGAGTTTGGGGCATTGTACAAACAAGCTTACTGGTATAGATACAGATATCACGAAGGAGCTCGAGACTAGAACATTTGTTCCCCTTCGATGTGGACACCACGGCTGCCGGATACAACTTTGAAGGTTCTGAGTCAATTTCGTTTGATGTTCAAAGGCCCGTTGACCTTACAAGGGAGGTCGATTACGGGTCTGATTCGCCTGAATCTAAGTGCTCGGTGTATTTATCATCCGAGTTGTTGCCCGCGACACTACCTTCAGGCAGCGGGTTTTTCCAGCTTCGTCCGTCTGCGGCCCAGTTTTATCCCCGCGCACTCCGCTGGCTCTTGGTTGAGCCTCTACCCTTATGTTTTTTCACAATCGAGAGATTTTGCGTTCTCATGATTGGTAGGCGTGAATGCTGTTTTACGGATTAATAATTTAACGAGCAGCAGCTATAAAGCGCATGAGCATAGAACTGATGAACAACAAACTAAAAACAAACCCTCGCATTAGCTTGACACTAGTAATTATACACTCCCACTTTTCGACGGTAAGGTTTAACTCACCAACTCAGTAGATCCGACTTCTAACAGTGATGATCTATATGAATTTGTTGACGATCATTCTCCTGACATTAACAGCTATCAGTCTTCTTAGTGCACGAGCCATGCCCGGCTCAGAGACCGCCGACGCCTCATGCACTTGAAAGATCCCGAGCAAGTTTTAAAACTTGCTCGGGATATTTCAAGGACATCAGAGGTTGCATCTTAGATGGCGGCATCACAAGCCAGTTCTGTTGTGATTGATGATCGATGATCGCCGTGACGGAGAAGATTGTGGTGTAACAGTGTGGGGAAAGTCATTGTGACGCAAAATAAGGAGTCCGGAAATGTCCGCGGCGACGCAAAATAGATGATGTATTCTTCAGAGATCATTGATCATCGATGATTCGATCAAGGTTGGACAGAACGCGGATAAAGCGTGCAGTCGCAACGACAACATTGAACAGGTTTACTAAATTTTTAATTTCAACCGACCCGGCTGGAACTTACTTACATTTTGTCCATTCCGCCACCAGAAAATAAGTTTCGGAGTTATGGCTCGTGTCCTACCCATCCATCCCAGCCTGATCAGGTACTTATACTTGCACCTCGTGCTACCTCCTTTTCAGCTGTGCCTTTGGTAAGACGGGCTTGCGTAAATTACTTGCGAATGACATATGTTTGATGGCCGTGTATAGTACATGATTGGGCAAATCGAATATGCTCACATTTACAAAAATCCTGTCCTTTCATAGACCGTTCCTCTTCAATTCTTATCGCTGGGAACCTTCCCAATAGACCAGCCGACTTTCATCAAAGTCTCGATTCCAAGTTGTCCTGGCTTCGGTGGCGAAGAGTTGGCCACAAGATCGCAATCCCACTCAACCGTCCCCGGCTCAAAGAGAGCAACAATTGTGCTGCCTCCGTACGCGAAGTACCCAAGTTCATCTCCGCGCTGAACCTTGGAACCCGCCTAATGGAAGTGAGTTCGAGATGTCAGAGATCCAAATTCCGCGAACTTACCGAAACAGTCCACTTGATGCTTCCGACGAGCAAGGCACCAACTGCGATGAATGCGATCTTTTTATTCGTCGCGTCGTGGTTCAGAACGAGAACTGATCTCTTATTGGCAGATAGCACGTCAAGATTTCTCTCGTTGACTGCTTGTGGGTTGACTGCGGAAGGTAAATTTATATTCTATGAGTAGTGGAGGTGGTCCTTACCTGTGTAATACTGTCCAGGGATATCCCTTGGTTCACCAACAACAGTAGCATCCGCAAGCGAGTGGAAGCGGTGATAATCTGAAGGTGCAAGGCGAAATGATGCGAGGGAGCCATCTTCAAGCGCCTGGCAGAGTGGATCGGATTTGTCTAGTCCTAGTAGGGCAGGAACTGTGAATTCGTCCCCCTTAATCCAAAAAGTCTGTCCAGCGTGCACTGTAGGGTATACAACAAGCCGGCAGTCGGCAGCGCTGCAGAATTCATGATCAGGATTCTGCACAGGGCGGGCTCCAGACTTGAGTTTCCGGTAAAAGAACTCATTGAAATTCTTGTATTCTGGGCTTTCGGGAGGGTACAGCAGCTCGCTTGTGTCGATGCTGTAAGTGTGTATGAATGACGGGATGTTCTTTCTAGACTGGGGCGAGTCATAAATCTGTCCCTCGCGCCTGCTCTGCTCCATGAGGAGTTCCTCGATGCGCTTGCTTCCTTCCAAGAGCTTGACCTGCTCTCTCCCATAGAATAGGAGATGCATGCCCAAACGCGCATAGATCGGCATGCTCTCGAAAAATCGTTGATTGGTGCCTCTGATTGCGACGTAGTTGCCAACGTGGTATTTGGCTGCGAGGGCTTCTAGCTGGGGTACGAATTTGTTCAGCCACGAATGGTGCCCAGGCCCAAGGTGATGGACATGGCCATGGATGCCCTGAGTAACATCGTTGCGGTTATCAGGATGATCAGGGTTCGAACGCTCTACGCTCTCTTTGAAGGCCTCGGCAACCTCGCCATCCAACATCTCCATCCCCTGCATCCCTACTTTGCCGCAACCCTCGACACCACCTGGCTTATTGAGCTCGGATTCATTCAACCGTACCATTGCTGCAATAGAAGATTAACACAGAGGTCGTGGAAGTCGGGTGTCAAGATAGCAGAAGGACTTTGATCGATGATCGATGGTTAAAAGGGGCGATAATTATAGGACGTCACGTAGTACTCGCGGTGCCAATTTGAGGCACTCTGGCAGTACTACTTAGCCTCAATATTTTTATCCTGACCTCAAGGCCTCATCAGCCGCCTTCCACAAACAGGGACACTGAGTGTTCAACGTCTGACCCCACTGCTTGTCATGGCTGGTGACGAGACTTATTACACAGGTGGCCAGGGTCTTAGGCCCCACTGTCACAAATATGTAAGGTACGAAATTCGAATCAAAAGGTCCAAATTTTGCGTGCGACCTCATTGACAGCCGCTATGTAAAACTTTCTAAGACCTGAAAGGCCAGCCCACTCGCATTGGAACAACAGTCTACGTCCTACTTCCTTGGTCTCAACTGTTTTAGAAACGTCATTGCAATGGCGGGCAGAATGATGCAGCGGGGCCATTATCCACCATACCCTGCCGCCATGAGATGATCAATGAGCGGCTATCTGTCAACTTGAACCCTGCAGGAATTTCCGCCAACTTAGACGCATTACGTGCTTCTCATGGCACGATCACTACGTTGGAGTTGTCGACTCGTCCTTGGCGCTTAGTGCTTGTTGATTCGAAAGATTATCATCCTCGGCAAAGATGAAGCTGTCACCGTCAATAGTACAGATGAAGGGTAGGTGCATAGCCCACAATATTGATATTCTACTTTACCAGGATCCTGTCTTACTCGAACCCAGCGGTAACAAGCGTTGTGCAGGGAATTGCACTCGGGCTCACAGTTTTTCGTGTCTGTTTCCGGCTACACACAAAAAGATTCTGGTGGGAGGACGCATGGGCTGCCTTTGCCGGATTGTGCGGTGCAGTGCATCTGATTAATTCTTGGGTCCACCTGCTCTCTCGTACGTACCTTGTCAATTGTTGACCTCATTATGTTGCTCATATGGATGGACTTGACATAGAAGTTCAAGGAACGACATGTACAGTTACTTTTTGGGTGACATCGTTCACGTTCACCTGCATAAATTGGTGAGATCCTGTCCCGCCTTTATTTTGGTCTAAGAAAACAAACGAACTTCAAGGTCTGCACGCATGAGCATACTGTTTGCCATCACACGGGTTGCGCGGCCCACGCAGCGGCTTTTTCACTTGTCCTTGGGTTTCGCGATTCTCTTCTTCCTGATGTGGGGAGGGTTTATTGTGCAAAAGGCGTGGAATTTCAGATCGAATCGTAGATGGTATCATATGACATGTCCTTCCTGCCGTATTGACCGTTTGATGGCAGCCTACGAAGTCGCAAGTGGGCATCATATCAATTTCCGCTTCCTCCTATACTCACCATACCATTCAAATCAGCCGGCTGCATCGCTGATACTATTATGGTGACCTTTTCCCTCAGATTGCTCTGGAACGTCAACCTGCCGATTCGACAGCGTCGAATGATTCTTGCGACATTTTCATCTAGCATTATCATGTCGCTGTTTTGCCTGTTCCATGCAATTGCCCACTTTCTATTAGTTACAGAAGTCGAAACGATTGCAGTGAATTTGGAGGTAGGTCTTGCCTATATCTCACCAATCCAAAAATTTACATTCATGTATTCAGGCATCGTCTTCCCTGATAGTTTGTAACCTGCTAGTGGTTGTGACTTATGCATACCGGGTACTTAACCGCAAACCTGATGATCCGGAAGATGACGACTATAGCAGTCCAATTTCAGGTGCCCCGTCATCACAACGGCTCACTACCATTACCTTCGGCGCAGTTGCTGAGACTTCCGCTTCGGGTTGGCACCTGAATTCACCAGCAGGCTTCGTCTCAGATTGTGTATAGAGGATACGAAACCTATTGTGATCCAATAGTATGGTTTATCGCATTGTGATGCTTCGTCGTTGGTCTCAACTTGACAGGCGAATGCTCATTCAAATAAAACAAGGAAGAGATATACATAGTGGAGAAGAAGTAAGACAAACGGCTTGTCATGGTCTGACATTTACACCCGACATTTACAGACCATGAATGCAGCTGGTACCACATTTCGGATCTCGTGAACCAGTGTGAATGCGCAATGATGGCCCGACTGCCCAGAGATAACCACATTTAGTTCCGAAGTCGAATGGCAGTGACTCATTTGAATCTTTTGTTGTTATCGCCGAGAGACAGTTAGACAGAGACGAATCTTGGACGAATGATATCAGCGTACGTCTCGACAACTATCTAGCTCTTGGCGACAATATGACAGATAGGCTCGTTCCATGCCTTGGCACTGAAATGTTGTCCTATACGCGGCTGCCAGGATGAAGGAATCCCTTAAAAACCATGTACTCAGCGATGCATAATATATACCGCATCTGGTGGAAACCTGTGCGTGAGTGCCCAATTGGACTGTTGGTTCATTATCTCGGGTCAAAGGAACGTTGGGTTCACCATCGAAATTAGAGTTTCACAAGAAGCTCCTTTGTCTTCCACGAGTATGACTTACACTTTACACACGGCATATCTGACATTCCACTGATTTCCCGATCAGCCAGTCACACTCGGCTTTTATGACGCCATGTCTCAACCTGTCTTAACGGTACATAATATGGAGGAGAAAACCATGAATTGCTGTCCCACCGTCGTAGGGTGATATATAATCCTTCTCCTGGTAGCCAGTGCAACAACCGTCCTTCTGTTCTTCTTGGTCGCATCTTCTTCTGCTGGCGTTTCTGGTGGCGACAACCGCGGTTCAATATGCAGTTCATTAAGAATTTGACGCAAGGCTTTCCGGCCATCACTGGAATACGATGGTTCAACCTTTCCGTCCTTGTCATTACACCAGCCCTTTCGCTGTATGGCTTGCTTTATGTTCACATCTTTTGGAACACTGTCGTTTGCACGACCCTCTATTACATATATTCCATGCTTGGTGGGTGTTCTGCAACAGTCATTTCTTCCGACCGCTGAATTTGCTACGCCAGGCATCACTGCTGGTAAGTGGTGACAACAACCTTCATGGGATATCATTAGAATATGTTGCTTCCAGGGTACCACCGACTTTGGTCACACAGGTCGTACAACGCTTCGTTCCCCTTGCAGGTATTCCTCATACTTGCGGGGGCAAGTGCAGTGCAAGGCTCGTGTTACTGGTGGTCACGCCGGCACCGTTCCCATCACAGGCATACCGACACGGACCTCGACCCGTACAACTCAGAAAGAGGCCTTCTGTGGACGCACATCGGATGGATCATTTTCGAGTCAGACTTGAAACCTGGGCCAGCTGATATCTCCGACTTGCGCAATGACCCTCTCGTACAAGTGGCAGCACCGATGGTACTTTGTCATCCTAACTATTTTCGGGTACTTGCTCCCAATGGTCATTCCTGGTCTGTTATGGGGAGACTGGAAAGGCGGATTCTTTTTCGTTGGTGCCCTTCGCATGACCGCGTGTCATCACGTGAGTCTCGTGTTCTTCATCAATGTCAAAGCTTGACTTGAGCCCCAGAGCACTTTTTGCATCAACTCCATCGCTCACTATCTCGGAAGCACGCCGTATGATGACAAACACAGTCCCCGCGACCATCTTTTATCCGCTATCCTTACGATGGGAGAAGGGTACCATAACTTCCACCATCAGTTTCCCATGGATTACAGGTAGCAGTTAACATCCATTGCGCTGTTCTCAACGCCATTTACACAATTCATGACCTTTTTACCAGGAATGCATTCCGATGGTATCAATATGACCCTACCAAGTGGTTCATCAGTGTGTGTCATTGGATCGGTCTCGCCTCCCATCTCCGCGTTTTCCCTAGCAACGAAATTGAAAAGGGTGCACTCACGATGAAACTCAAGGTTCTGAAGGACGTTCAGGACTCAATTGAATGGCCCGTGCCTCCGCACGAACTACCTGTGGTCACGTGGGAAACCTGTGAGTAAGGCTATGTAGCGCACTACGTATTTTACTAATCAACCTGCATCCTGGTTTGAAATAGTCCAGGAAGAGTCCAAGTCTCGGACCCTTCTCCTCATCTCGGGTTTTATCCACGACGTGTCATTGTTCCTTGATACCCATCCGGGAGGTCCCGTTTTACTCACACGAAACTCTGGGAAAGACATGACAGCCTCTTTCTTTGGCGGTGTCTATGCTCACTCTCACGCAGCGCATAACGTGCGTACCATGACATTGTTCGCTTATCCAATGATGCTAATGACTGGCTCTGATCCTCCGCCGACCGCTGTAAACTTACTCTCGCATGTTACGTCATATAGCTCATTGGGATGATGCGTGTGGGCATTCTAGCGGGTGGTGTGGAGGCACCAGCAGAGCATGCCATCCCACCCAGTCAGCGACTCGTTATCCGCGCTAACACCTCCCATTAAGAATACAGATTTTTGATACAATGTCTCGGTTGTTAACTCATCAGTGTCGGGAATGTGGGGGTCGACATACATGCCACCTGTGGCTAGAATTGGAGATCGTGGCGCTGAGAAGCGATTTGATATAACATTGACAGTGATGGTGCAACTTGTTGCGCATCTGCTTTTTAAATTTTGTTCTTCAATATTCTACCTGGATACTTTCACTATAGATGATATTGAAACTTCTGTTGTTAGCGATTGTCATAGTGGGATAAAGAGTTGCAGCTCCTCCGGGCGTGATTAATGACATATCAGCGGTGGTTGGACAGTTGATGATGACCCTCATAACATCTTGTTTGTCCCTAGATTCAGTGAGAGTGATGCGGGCTCCGAGGTGGTTGAATTCTGTAAAAGTTTGGACTGTAGATCGCATAATTCTGTGGTGGTAGAACCGGTGACAAAAAAAAAGGTCATCGGTTAGAAATCGTGCCATAGTGTCGAATTCTCCCGCTGGAACAATGATATTGAGATTGTTGGTGGGATATGAAGGTGAACCCAGAATCATGTTGAGAGCGCAAGATCCAGTAATCACACCGCGTGTGGCGGTTAAAACGGCGAAGAATTGATGGCGACGACACTCAGAAAGGATGTACGGAGTCAGGATCTGGTGATTGTATTTTTCTATGAGGTAGAGAACTACCCCACGCATGGTTGTGCACGTCTGCGCAACATTGAGCAAGTCTCGGAGGTTTAAGCCGTCTAGTATTGCAACTACAAGCTCTTTGGCAAGTAAAACTTGAGTGGAGTGTAAGTGGTATGGGTGGCCATATGTGATGTGTTGGGTACCTCGTTCAATCAATCTCATATTTTTGGCAGTGGGTAGCGCGTACGTGTGAGGTTAACCATCAAAGTTTCAGTTGAACGCACAGCATGACGCGTTAAACGTAATAGCACACGTACGATGCTGGTGGAACGCCCGCAGGGATTTGCCGGGGTTTGTGTGCACGAAACATTCCGACATATGTTTGTAAGCTGGTGGCACACCGAAAATTAGTGGCTGATCGTTAACGTCGGTGTAATACTACGAAAGAAGTGACATGACAGAATTTTAAACTCGTCAGAATAAAAACATCATTGTCGGAATAATCACGATAAATGGTGGCATGAACAGTGCCCGTGCATTCGGGAGAAGCAACGCTGAAAGCAATAAGAAAAAGTCACTCGGGATTTGCCGGTGTTTGTGCGAGTGGACGATTCAACAAAACAAACAACGTTCGGAAGGGGGAAGTGAGCAAAAAAGACATTTTGCCCACTGGCTGGATTGAACAACCGACCTCATCATCTCTCGGATCTGATGATCCGTTACAAGTGACGCGCTCTACCACTGAGCTAAGCGGGCTTGTATGTTGACTTCACGTAATTATAAATAGGGCGTTATGCAGAGCAGGAATGTCTTGGCTCAACCTAATGCGTATATCCAATTCTTTCACAAAAACGGTCATAGGCATCTGAGAGGTATTTGAGCTATAATAACTTCTCTTGGTCCTGCACGTACATGTATATAATCCCCGAGTCATATCTATCTATCTGATCGTTCTAATGCAATCTGGCAACTGCAAGATTGACTACATGTAAGTACTACGTAGTTAAGAGCGCCCTAAACAATCGGTACAATCTGCCGGATATGAGCTGGCACAAGTGCATCAGGGTACGGCGGGATCTTGCGTGTAGCATAGAAGGACCCTGAAGGAATACTGTCTCGATATCGCGATGCTTTCTTCCTTGCTGGCCATGGTAGCAACCCCACATTGGGGTTAGGGTTTCGATCAAGTTGGCGCCAAGTGAGAGGTTGGTCATAAATAGCTCGGGCACTGAGTACTGAGCTGGCAGTTGCTGCCACCAGTGTTACTCACGTTTTCCTGAGATTTCCCTTCCCCGAGGCAGCCAGAAACGATGGGTAATTTTCTATCTTGGCTCAGTGACGCAGCACCTCCAAAGACCACATTTTCTGTCGACCAAATTCCAGACCTGACAGGAAAAGTAGTTATTGTCACTGGTGCCAGCACAGGGATCGGAAAGGAGACTGCGAAGGTGAATTGTTTAATTATGAACGAAGTTGACGGTTCGTGTTGACTCGGACTCCTACTTGAAGGCTCTACTCGCACATGGTGCCAAAGTTTACATTGCGGCTCGCAACCAGGCTTCTTCAGAGGAGGCAATTCGTCAACTGAAGCAGGAAACTGGGAACGAGGCCATATTTTTGAAACTTGACCTTGGAGACCTGAAGGCAATCAAGGTGTCTGCTGAAGAGTTCCTGAGGTAAGAAAAGCGTTATCCAAGGAATCATTAGCTTCGAACTGAGCTATTTCATAGCAAAGAGACACAACTTCATATTCTCATAAATAATGCGTGAGATAACTTTTTACCTCGACGCGCTGAGTGATACTGAACGTCGCAAGTGGGGTTATGGTGCCGCCGACGGAGCTAGTGACTGCAGATGGTTATGACCTCCAATTTGGAACGAACGTCCTTGGTGAGAAACTCAACATTAATGACATTGAGACGGGGCTGATGCCTTTCAGGTCACTACTACTTCACAAAGCTCCTGCTTCCCATTCTCACTTCGACGGCTAAAGCCACTCCCGAAAGCAAAGTCCGGGTTGTGAACGTCTCCTCCTGCGCCCATTTATTTGGACAGCTCGATTTTAACACCTTCAAAGATGGCCCGGCTCGAAAGAAATGGACGAGGGCCAGCCTTTACAACCAAAGCAAATTCGTATGAACACGCTTCCATCGGTGGTGGAGAATGAAGCTGACCATGATACAGGGGAATATCGTGCTTGCTCTTGAATTGGCGAAGCGATACGGTGACCAAGGTATTATTTCGACGGCGTTGAATCCTGGAAATATCAAGTCGGAATTGCAGCGCCACGTTGAGCCTCAGCTTCCGAGTATCGTCAAGCAGTTTTTGGTAATCTTACAGAGCCCTCACCGTGGAGTTCAATGCTAAACAGGGTTGTCAGAGCGCGGTGGTGCTGTATGAAACGTCTCAGGGTGCCCTTACGCAGTTGTATGCTGCCACGTCCCCGGAAGCTGCTAATTTGAATGGCAAGGTGAATTTCAAGGTGGAACTCATGTGATATTGTGGTGCTGAGATGTCTTTAGTATCTTGTCCCATGGGCTCGTGTGGGGTCACCTAGGCAGGAAACCCAAGATGCTCAACTCGGCAAGGCGCTGTGGGAGTGGCTGGAGGAACAAGTCAAAGATATATAATTCGAAGATCCTCTCGAGCAAGTTTGCATTGCAAGTTGTGTAGCATCGATGTACAATTAGTGTTCTGACTTTCGTAGTGCCTCTTTATCTACGAGCGGTGAAAATGAGAATTAAGCAACAACAAGAGAAGAGCGAATGCTAGAGCTTTTCAGCCTTCTTCATCAGAGGAAGAACCCAGAGGAATAAAACGCTTTGCACTGGAAGTTAGTACGGCCGAGCTTGGAAGCACATGGTTAAGCCAACCGTCCACGAACATGCACTGGCACTCACCATAGACATCTGTGCGCGTCGATCACGCAAACTCATAGTTGCGGACCTGGAATCAAGCGTAGGTAATGGCAGCATTCCAGGATCAGAAAGATTGGATGGAATGAACACATGAGACGATGTAGCGAATGTGACTTGGCGCCGTGTCATTCCACCTGTAACATGCTGAACCTGAGTTTTCAAAACGGGCTGGACTGGGACTGGGGCCGGGGCCGGGAGCGGAGACGGAGACAAGGACGATAACGGTGACGGCGGAATGGATATGCAACATCTCAAGGGCGAGCGAAGAACTTCTTCCAACTTGATAGCCTTCGACATTGGTGGCGTAGCGATAGGTGGACCTGCAGGCGCTGATTCCATTGTCTTCTTCCTATCATTGTGGTTAGAAGTTGGCGGGACAAAGTCGTCTGGCTTTGGAGCTGCACTAGAGATATTCGAATCGTTTGGTGTGACCGTTGATGCTTGAGGAATGGCCTCATGTACTCGAGCCGTTGGAAGTGGATGTCTGCCCGCCTGAGAGGACGCATGCATGATGTGAGCATTCGCAAAAAAAATTGCTCCGGAACCAGAAGAGGAAGAAGGCTCGGCAGTGGGCTTTCGAAGCTGTACAGTTGCGTGATTGACTGGAGCAGGAGGCAGTATGTCAGCGAGAGGCGTCCTCGTGGTCTGTCTGAGCATTGGAACTGCAGGGTAGTTGTTGTTCGTGGTTACAGAGTCACGAACGGGAGAGGTCAACCTGTCAGCATTTAGGGATTTGCGCAAATCAAGGGCGTGTATTTCCGGGGAATTGACCGTATGAGATGACTTTCTCACAAGCTGAGGGGAGCCAGTTGGTAGTACGCTACCCAATCGTGGTTTCTTGTGTTGATCTATGCGAGGGCTACGCGACGGGGCAAAAGAGTGGGAACGATAGGATTGGAAGCGCCCCGGAAGTGTGTCGTCTTGATTTAACCAAGAATTGGAGCGCTTGCGACTGTGATGGTTCTCGGAACGAGAGAACGGAACTGCTAGAGCTGGCTGGGGAATATCAGGGATGCTGACAGAAGGAGCGGATAGACTGGATAAAGTGGACTTCATGCCGCCGATATCGCGGCTCAGACTTGACATGCTGGACGAGACTTTATCGGCTATCGAAGTTTTGACCTGATCCACATACAAAGGGAAGGTTTGTACAAGTGGAAGAAGTGGGAGTACCGCAGTTAGTATCGAATGCTGCTGGTCCTGTATGGCTTGCATAGCATGATTCTGGGTTTGAATGAGCTGTAGAATCACGGTCCGTTAGTAGTGTAGAGACAGAGCGGGCTTAGCAGCATAAACATGAAATACCGTTTGAATCGCATCTATGCGTTTGTCTAGAGCTTGTATGCTACTTTCCGCTGACGATTGTGATTTCTGGACCAATTCGAGAGTTGATGCTTGAGAGGGTGCACCGATGCAAGCCTTCAGCTCGGTTTGCACTTTTTTTGCTAAAAGTAATGATGAGAATATAGGTCCGTCTCGTTTTCGTTTTTCAGGCGTCTCAAACGGTATACCATGGTCAAAGCATATCATCGAAACGTATACTCACAGCTATTCGAGATCTCGTCGAGCACACGTTCACGTTCGCTCTCTGATATCCGGTTACAGTTCGCCACTTCAGTCTTTGCGTCCTTGACGTTAGCGAGCAAAGTGTCCACTCTCGTAGAGAACTTTCGAGGGTTGCCTGCATGTCGTGAATGAGCATTCGCATGGATGTGTTGGTCCTGTCGATTGGTGCCAGTGGAGGAATCATTGGCGTAGCAGAAGAGTCATTGGACGCCGGGAGATCCTTCTGGAGAAGATATGCCCATAGCGCATTTGGTGCTGTTTTCCGCTCGGTGTTCATGGTGTGATGGAGAGATAGTGAGATCAAAACGGGAAGTATCAAGCAAAAGACAAAGCAAAGATCAAGCATGTTAATACCCACGATCTAATCGTCAGCAGCATGACGCAGTGGAAGCGTGCAGGGCTCATAACCCTGAGGTCACTGGATCGAAACCAGTTGCTGCTATATCAATTTTTTTCTATTACTTATAGCTGACGGTGCTTTTTCTGCAATCAAGTTGTATGACTTGGGTATCATCTCGCTGGTGTTAAATGTGCGCTGCTGGAGTGGTTGCACATACATACACAATGGGGAGCGGAAATTAATTAGCATACAATACTTGATACACTTGACAATTGCTAGTACGCTTCTGAATTTAATTTTGAAGAGGAAGGCTTTCGAAAGTGAGTATACTAGTTACCTTAAGCCAAAAAAACAAACCTTAGCCGGATCGACCGTCATCGCCCCTGCATCAATCTACGGTGGTTGCGTGAAGCCGACGTTCTCCGCTGATTCAAGAGCCCATACACCTATTTCATCCTGCGGGAGCTGACTCCACTTTGCATAAACCTAGCATTTGTTAGAATCTACAAACAGTTACAGGGAAAAACCACGTACATCATCAAGGATATCCAATAGCTCTGCTGTCTTAGCATCTGCAGTACGTTGCTTTTGGTCATTATCCTCACATCGGGCATACAGAGCAGCGTTCTCCTTCCTCGAGCTGTAATAAAGTCAGATAATCTTGTAAATATCATCTGACGGCTACTCACAGCCTGTAGCTCCGCTCGTAAATGTTCTACTTCAGATTCTATCACCCGGACCGTACGTGCACGAACAGCAGCACGCGGTGTGAGGTTTTCTCTCCATACATCCTTCCCGTTCAACTCCCCACGTTGTTTCCGAGCTCTCGCTTCAGAGACAACGGCATGGAGAATGTTGATACTATCTCGAACATTAAATTCCTTGAACAGATTCTCACAGCTTTGCTGCGCGACTGTCTTAGTCGTTGTGCATTCCATCGTGCTTAGACATGAAACTCACGTGTATTTGGTCCTCCATATGCCTTGAGACGGTGTTAAAGATACCCTCTGCACCGTGTGGCTCTTCCTTACACCAGAGCGCGAAGCATTCCTGGAAATCTTCGTATCTACGCGACTGTTAGTCTAATCACGCGTAAATATGAGCGAACTTGATACTCGCGTCCATTTGTGTGCTGCGCGTGATATCGCAAGCTGCAGCGCTGAATGAAAATGGGTCCAGCGTTTGCTGTCTGGTGCTGGCTTCATCGCGGCTTACGCTAAAGTGATGCTGCATAGGACACGTGATCAGTGGTGCAGCGCTTCGGTGACCACGAGTTCACGACGTCTCAGATGTGTACCACTATCATCTATGGACCGCAACGACGAGAATGATGGGCAGCCGGCCAGAATACAACAGCAGAGGAGCTCTGTTCCGTCATTTCTATTCCTAATATTTATGCTCTTCATACTCACGAATCACACTGGGGATGAATTTCTTGCTCGAAATCATTACCAGGATGCCCTTCAATCCCTCAATTACCAACTGTCAAACTTCACTGCTTGGCTGAATGGGACGGAGTCTAACTTCACAATGGTGCGTGCTCAATTGTTGTTAGTTGCCGATGTATGCCGAGGAAGCGCAGCCAGACAGGAAAGCCGCCACCACCCCTCTTGTAGGGTCATTCATGTCCTTTGGATCTCATCTCAACCCACAATGGGCCTCATATTTTCCGAATGTGACCGGATTTGCACACGGCGAGATTGACTTCTTCAATATCACCACACCCAGCCTCGCATCCACAGCCTTTCCGTGGAGAGCACATGCTGAAACGTTCATGGGCGACACTAACATGACAGAGCTTGTCAGTCACGTTGGCTCTTGGAATTGGACTGGCTCGGACAAAATCTCATGGAGCATAATGGATCGAACCCCGGTCGGTGTGAAAGGTGTTACAGAGAAGATCGCCATTGTTCATGTGGGTTGTTTTCATCACCTCATTTCATGGAAACTCGAACCCCCGCACAGGGAAGAATAGACGTCCGTCATCCTACCAGCTCCGATGACATGAAGCTGGATTTTGAAGGCGTGCACTTCCTCGCAAATGGGACCATATATGGCTTCGCTGAACCCACCGGGTACGTCCTAGCCCTGATGCCAGGAAACAGGAAACGTAACTGATGTTACATTAGCCGACATATAGACATTCGCTACATCCCTGCGATTGTTCCAGAAGCTTTTCAGAATGATACCGCTCGAACAATAGAACCTGAATTGATCTCTCGAGTTAATAAGGTGAAAGATTTGATTGATGCAGGTGTTATCGACCAGGAGTCGACCAGTAGGCTAAATTTACATCCTACCTGTCATACTTCTAACGTGCTTGCAGATGGGGAGTCACAAGGAGGTTGCGGGTTTAGCGTTTATGCACAAATTGCTCCATCTGAGATATCCGTAAAGGATATGGAGGACCTTGAAGACGAATTACAGAAACCTACGGGGAGATGGACAGTGAAAAGACCCCCTCTTAAGCTCAACGGTGTGCTTTTGAGTCGAGAATGCGGCATTTTATACAAGCTGCATGATACGGAAGGATTAAGGTATTTTTACTATATTTTCAGTTTAGTGACCTAACTGAATGCGTGTGTCTCAAGGTCTCAGTCGTTCTTCCGCAAAGTTGCAACATGTTAGGGTGTTCCGTCTTGATTCAGTCAGTTTATTGATTCGTGTATTTTGCTCAGATGCCGGCATCTCAGCTTTTGTGTACTTGGCGCAGCTACTATTGCTCTCTCGTCAAGTTGACCGAAGCCGTACTCCTGCTGGATTGTCTCGTGTCTCCTTATGGACGTTCCTTACACAATCCATTGTGGACTCCGTCTCGTTTGCTGGGCATATCACATTTGCCATTATTGCTAGTGGGCGTCCGTCCTTGTCGCTTGTGGCTCCGGCATTCGTCGCCTGCGTGCTGTTTGCTTTTGAATCTGTGAGTGAACCTTGGCTGCTGGATAGACTACACAGACTGAAATTCCTGTTCAGCAACATGCCATCCTCATCAACCAGGTTCAAGCCCCAGAGGATGCAGTAGCACCATCCCCTCCAAGACCAGTACAACAGGAACCATCGGTGCCTTCTCAAGTTGTGCCCACACCACCAACAGCTCCTCCTCGATCCACTGGCCCGACATTCTTCAGTTTGTTGCTTCGACACATTCGATCTGACCCCCAAGCACGGATATGTAAGTCTTCAGGTGTTGTCACAATCACTTCTGATGTCCCTTCAGGGCTCGGAATGTTTTTCTTCCTCACATTCATCGTCAGAGTCATCGTTACTCCTTCACTGGCGTTGGTATTCGTGGCAACCATGTACTCCCTTTTCTGGTTGCCGCAGATTGTGCGCTCGGTGAAAAAAGGTAGGAGCAGTGCACTGACTGCTGAGTACTTGATTGGTACATCACTCTGCCGACTTTTCCATGCTCTTTGTGAGTATCCATGCATTTTTGTCCATCCACGTCTCTAAAATTCTGTTAGATTTCTTGACATGCCCAAAGAATGTGCTTGATATCGAGCCCCGCCGTAGGTCCCAAGTCATGGAACAATCAAGATTGACTTATACTTTGCTAGGTTGGATGTGGTATCTCGCGATGTTCATCTTCCTCCAAGTTGCCGTTATACTGCTTCAGCAGCGTCTCGGACCGGCGTTCTTCCTTCCGAAACGAGTAGGTCGCATTTTTCACTTGTACAAGTATTTACGCTGAGCTTTGCAGTTCGCTCATGCACAAGTGTACGACTATCACCCAGCATTACCGCTTTCTGCGGCTGACCCAGAAGCACCCGATGAATCTCTCGGGGACTGCGCTATTTGCATGGAGGCCATTCATACCGACGATGAGAAGCAGCTAGAGCAGGTTACCGGTGGTTTGCTGCGAGGGGTCGGAGCAAGGACGAAGCTATAGTCTGGCACCTTGTCAGCATCTATTTGTGAGTTTCTGATATCGTTTATATGCAAACGGCTCGCTCATCGTGTCGAGCAGCATACGGAATGCCTGGAAAAGGTATGTTTAGTGTTCGCTGCCGGATTCTAGATGCTAACTCTTCCATCGACTAGTGGCTTGCTATTAAGGTAACCGTTTGCACGAACAAAATGACGTTGTGTATTGATCAATCACTTTAGAATATTTGTCCCCACTGTCGAAGGCCACTTCCACCACTTTGACAGATCTGATGTCCGAAACCGAAGTATACCAACACACCATCTCAGTACTACATACCTCGCATTTCTTGTACTACACTTGCTCTGTTAATCATAACCATTTGTACTTGTTCGCAGGACAGTGTTTCGTACCTCAACTCGTCAACACTTCGCAGTTCGCATGTCATTCTAATTCGCTCCTGATTGTGCGGCTCAATATCGTAGCTTCACTGTGTATCTGCTACTGACACTGTTCCCACCCAAACCTCAACAGGTGATCCCTCCGCTCCAGGAACTTTCGCAACCTCCTCAAAATGTATGCCAATTTTCTCCGCCACGTCCCAAAGAGTACGTTCTGCAGCATCTCGCTCTTTGTGTCCAAGGACGATGAGTGGAGGTTTCGCTGGTGCGACACTCATCGAAAACCTGATGAGCCGGGAGAGCGTTCCGATGAGTGCAGGAAACGACGCAGTGTTATATGTGACATCCGCCATCCTGGTGTGGGGGCTCGGAACTTTCACCAACATAGGTTGATATGCACTCACACGATCACATCGATGCCACTAACGAACGATTCCACCTGGGTGGGGATCTCAGGTTTATCCCAGTCGAGGACAGCACCTTCTAGTGCATTGCCAGGGTGGTAGAGGGGTTGACTTGAAGTAATATTGCTCTGCAATAGCGGCAAAGCAGATGCTGAACACTACAATCAATGATTTTATTTGTCGAGCTGCCACAGGTTGCTCACGCAAATCGGTGGTTATGATCTGTCCTGATTTCCCGGGTGAATCGAGCAAGCCTCGTAAAATGCCCAGAACGATGGCCACTATGCCCGTCCCTGCACCTACTCAAAGTTGAGGATTGCGAGAAACGCGACGAAATGTCTCACCTAGCTCGAGAATATCACACTTGGAGGCGAAGAGTACGTTCTTCACCCTTGAAACCAGGGCGGTGTTGGCAGCTATCCCGGAGTGAAGTTGTACTAACCAAGAACTAAGGCCAATACCACTGTCCCATATTTTCTGGTGGTGTTTAATTTAAGCCACTTCCAGCAAGGTAAGCTGATGGCTTACCTTGTCGAGGTCAAAAGAAGTTTGCTCGATGATGTCAAATATCGTAAGGTGGTCTGTATTAGTCGCAGGTAAAGCATATGATCTCTGAATCCGCTCCTGCTTTATAGCCTTGCTTGGGCGAGTGGAGAAAAGGATCGGATCGGAGAGGACAGGGAACGGCTGGTGCCCCAGATTTTCATCATTTAGGGAAAGCACCTGATCTTTTCGTGATGTTCCAGAGCTAAGGATGAGGCGCCAGTACTCTCCATTACGGGCATTCCGAGGGGGCGGGACGGGTATCTCCTTGTACATCGTAGATGCCCTCCAGCTCGTCAGCTTGACAGGCTTTGTTATTACTGACGAGCTTGGTTTGGGCGAATGCAAGGACCACGAATAGAATATATCTTGGGCATCTGTGTAGTATTCTGTCCGCAGATCGTTGGCGATTTGAGGGGTGATGAGGATGGGTTCGCCAGACAAGGCGGCTTGAGTGGGAGGGGGCCGCAAGAATGAAATGTAGTAAAACATAAGCTGATTTTTTCCTGCAGCATAGGTCAGACGTTCATTATTCAGATGAGATAATTTACCAAACGCTTGACGTATTCAGCTGCTATAGATCTACATATCCATAAGCTGGAGCAAGTACTAGTGTTCAAAGAAAACTCAACATATGATCATATGTGCAACGCCTCGCCCGATTCGGCGAATGCATCATCTATCGGCAAACCCAAGGCGCACGGGCACGGAAGTATCATGTTTCGTACCACCACCATCCTGCACAAGTCCTGCTGCTTGCGGTCATCCATTCATCCTCCGAGTCGCTCTTTTGTTCACTCTTTACCACGTAACTTTCCGAGGATATGGCGAATTACATCGGAGAAGTCATTCCAAAACACACCGTTGCCGACTTTTCGTGACCAGGTTGTCCGCTCAACTGAAGTAGAGTCTTTCAGCTCTCGGTTTCCCCGGCCAACAGTACGGAATCAAGTTCTGGTTAGCAAACTTCATTCGCGTTCCATGCGTTCATGCTTTAGCTGGCTCGTGGCTTCTTAGTTTTTCATTGGTGGATCTTTACTCGCGTGTTCGATAGCGGCCAGTCAAACCGAGATCGACACGGAATACTGGTCAAAACGACTCGTGTCTGTCTCTCACAGATGGACTCTCCGACCCCCAAGTACAGAAGAGATGAGAAAGGCTCAGTACCTAGAGCTTGGCAAGGTGCGTTGTTCATTCTTTTCCGAAGTTCTTCGTGATACATTTCATCCTCTTTAGTACCTGCAAACGCAAGTGAACCAACTCAAGGATACGCTGGCGGAGTGGCCTCTTGCATTGCGCAACCTCGTTCTGTCTGTTTACGTTCAAGCCGCGCAGTCATATCTTGATGCCCCCGAGGGCAGAAGATTATGCTGGTTGATCTGCGGCGTGAACACGGCTATATATCTTGTGTGGAAAATTCCACGACTTGCGCCGTTCATGACCCGATCTTTCACTCACCACCCGTTGTCGGGACGCTCGTACACTCTGCTAACGAGCATGTTTAGTCATAAATCCTTCATCCACTTGTTGGCAAACTCAATGGCCCTAGCTAGCTTCGGTGCGCTAAATCACATTTTAGCGGACATTTCTGACTTCTTCTGTCTATAAGGCTCGGCCGCAACGCATTATTTTACCCTGGAGCAACTAAAACATGGTGAACAACAGCAGGAAGCCACTGCCAAGTGGCATTTCCTTGCCTTCTTTATCTCTGGTAGGACCCTTGTGTCAGCCTCCGCCGATTGATTCACTCATATTTCAAAGCTGGCCTGTTCTCTGGTTTGGTTAGCCACGTTGCTGCTTGCAAAGTTCTCTTCCCTCGCCTCGTCACTCAGTACACCGCTTCTGCAGTCATAAAGAACTCCCCAGCAGCTGCCGCAATATCTAGCACAGCTGCAAAGGCCACAACTTCCACCGTTCCGCGGGAGATTTTACCATCGTTAGGCGCATCCGGCGCCATTTACGCAGCTGTGACAGTTAGCGCGTTGGCCTTTCCGGACGCCCAAGTCAGCCTGATTTTCCCTCCTTTCATTTCGATACCGATCCAGGCGGGAGTTGGTGGTATGGTCATGCTCGACATGATCGGCATCGTACGCGGCTGGAGGTGGGTACACATATGTGCAAGAGAGCATTGCTGATTCTGGTGCTGCCTTTCAGGATGTTTGATCACTATGCTCATCTTGGTGGTGCAGCGTTTGGTGTGATGTATTACATGTATGGACCGCAGTGGTGGGCCTTCATGAGGAGCGAGTATCAACAACTACACTCTGTCACATCTTAGACGTTGTCTAGGTACCATGTTATCATTCTTATAAACCACGCTCAGCCATTATTGAGGTTCGACGGCCCAAACGATTCATTGATTACTATTGTACAAGCTGTCAGGGAAGATCTCAGTATCAACACTTTAAGGAACTTGTTTTGTGGTGGGTTCGACAGTAATCCTCTTGGGCGCCTGCTCCTTTCCAACTTTCGGGAAAGTAACTTTCAAGACTCCATTGTTCATCTCTGCTTTGACATCTTCAGGCTGCAGGCAACGTGAAGTGTGATCCACGAAGGTAGTAAGCTAGATTCACCTTAGTTCCCACAGGCAGTTGCAAGGTACGAGAGAACTTTCCATATGAGCGCTCACGCACGGCGTAGTCCCCCTCTTTGCGTTCCTCAGCGGTCGACATCTCCCCTGAGACGGTGAGGCGGTTCTGCTGCACGTCAATGTTGACACGGTCTGGACCCAAACCAGGCAATTCAAACATAGCCGTGACTTCATTCTTCTCTTTGCCCTCCACTAAATCCATCCTACTCAACGTTAGCGGTGCATTGATGCCCCTATTCATGCACTTACTTCGGGCGGAATGTCCCGAGGCGAGAGCCACTTTCCAAGGCCCGGCCGCCAGCAACATCAGAGGGGCGGAAGCGAGCGCTGAACGCATCGTCGAAGAGGCGCTCAAACTCGGTGAAAGGGTCGTAGTGGAAGTGAACAAGGGACATGATAATAAATATGTGTGTGTTCGATTCGAGTTTGCAGCGATGGGGGTTCTGACGAGAGGAGGGTTTTCCCTCCTGACAGACATTTTATATTTCTCCAGAACCCCTGTGGGCCTCCTGTGTCTCATAGCAGAAGAGTCATACTTTCCGTGTCGGATTGATCAATCGGCTGGCTTGGCTAGACCGGATATTCTGATAAGGCCGCCTGTCTGCTAGATCGAAATCCGAAGAGGAGCATACTTGGTTTCGTCTCGATTCAGGTTTTTCTGAATTCAAATTGAACACGAAAGGTAACGATTAGTGTTTGGTGACCTCAAATATTACATCATCATCGGGCCCCCTCACTGGACACAACGGGGCCGCCGTGATTACTCGGTGAGGTCTTTTTTTGCGTGATATGTCAGCAGCCTTAGGATTCAATAAGACCAAACAAACGTTAATACCAAATATTTGTAAATGGCTTTCTGTATCCAAATCAGGTACTCGAATCTCGATACCTCTCTCGCTTCTCGAATGTTGTTATATTACTAGCTTGTGCTTTCATTGTTTCCGTTCCCAAATTACTACAGCTCGAGGGCAGTACCCTATCCAACGCGAATCTCATCGCTGAGTATGAAAATTCTGAGTCATGCCATACAAGATGGACGAGAACGCTGAGATCAAGGCGGCAACTGCCAACCCTCACGCTTAGCCCACTGTTCACGAGTAGAACGCATGTTCAATCGAGAGGGCCAATATCAAGCCTCGGTCTATACATTACACGAAGCTATTCTCGTCAAATAAATATCGTTAACCATCCTTCGACAAGCCACCCACAAAAAGAAAGGCAACCAGCTTTCATTCGAACTAGCTATATCTGAGAATGAGGGGAGGGAGACATATAGGCTATCCACATCCGATGCGTATGCAGACCGAAATGAACATGATCGCATAGCGAGCTAAATGCACACAACCTCTGTGAAAAAGGTGGACAGCGGGGGCGTACGCCAGGTCATGAAGACGAGTTGCATGGTGATGTACCGGAGTAGCACTTGGACGTGAGAGGACATAATTCATGCAAGCCCACAAGATCGATAACAATCGAGGTACTGACGTATCGAATAGGCACTGAAATCCGCAAGTGAAGGAAGAAACGACGGCATATTATGTTATTTTCATGTTGGCGCGGATCGTTACATCTGGCGAGGCGGGTTGGACCCATGTGCAGTTGAAGGTGAATAACATTGAGCGAGACACAAACAAGAACCTCGTTCCAGCCTTTGCAAAAAGGAGGATTGAGGGAAAACAGCTTCAAGTTCATGTATTGGGCGTCTAATGATTATGAGACACGAAGTAGGTTAAGCTGTGCAATAGCACTAAGGCACTCAGTACAAGCGCCTCTGCAGCTTAGATCAAGACACCCACAGTCCTTACACAAGCAAGTCCACCTCGAACGCGTTCAACATACCAAAAGTCCATCACCATGCCAAAAGAAGCAGCGCAGCTCATCGTTACACGTTCCACACCCGTTCGAGTGTTTAAAGATCACGAAGATACCGTAAATGCATTCGTAGTCCTTCCCGATGGTCGTCGTATGGTGACAGGCTCAGCGGATGGGACTGTTCGTCTGTGGGACTTAGAGAGAGGTGTTTTGTTGAAAAGGAATATCGTGGGGCATCGCGAGAGCGTGCGGGCATTGGCGGTGTCGCGAGACGGGCGATTAATAGCAACCGGTGATACGTCAGGGAGGTTCATTGCCTGGGACGGAGACACTTGCGATCCTCTCACCCAACCCATCCAAATCTACTGGGGCCCTTGGGCCATCCCTTACGCGATCAACTCGCTAGATTTTTCTCCAGATGGCACTGAGTTGGCCATTGGTTTAGACGAGTGGACGACGAGGCTGTGGAGCACGAAAAGTTGGCAGCAGCTAGGAAAATTAGGAGTTTTATTGAGTTTGGGAAATCCTAGGGTCAACTGCGTTCGGTATTCACCATCTGGCCAACTTCTTGCCATTGCAACAATCGACGATATTCAAATATGGAGTCCAGGCACGAGGACATGCATCACAAAGTTCACGGGTCACAGCATCAGTTATTCTACACCAATCACAAAGATCACAGGTCCCAGCCTCGTCGGTTTTCTTCCGGGTACACCATGGATATTAATGAGCAACAAGTCACTCGTGTGGACGCCCGATGGCACACACCTTCTCTCAGGTGGTAGTGGTTTACATCCCACCATTCGGGTGTGGGATACATCAACCTGGCAGCAGGTCGGTGATTCTTGGGAGGGTCATAATACTGGCGGGATCAACGCCATCGTCCTAAATCCTGCTGGGACTCTCGTCGCCTCTGCATCTGATGATAAGCAAGTCCGCATCTGGCGGCTCTCAGATCATCAAACCATTGCCATTTTCAACCACATTTCCTCGGTACATTATATCACCTTCTCCACGGATGGCAAGCGAATCCTCAGCGGAGGTTCTGATAAGAGTCTGAGCATCTCAGAATGGGACATCCCAGATGCTCTGCCAGAGAAACCTCTCGATGCACAGATGACAAACAATGTTGCTTTCTCGTCTCTTCATAATCTCTTGTCGCGCAAGGACGCTTTGCAGGAGGACACTCCAAAGGAACAGTTGTCCCACAAGGTAAGACCGTGTTCATGTCATGTCCCTTCGTCTTCTTACCTTGCATTAAGGATGCTCTACGTTACGAACAGCTGCCCCAGCAGTGCGTCGATGCTGACACAGAACGGGCTATTCGTGTGGTCATTGACACTCAACTCGAAAATGCCCCGCTTCGTCTACTCCACACCACCACCGGTCTTTTGTGTGATCGACAGTCACAGATCAGCACTTTCAAAGCAAATACGGAGTACCAGCAGCTTCTGCTGTTAATCACCAACCTTCCGGACCTTCTTCCAGACCTCCGGGCGGAGCTGATCAAGGAAGCGGTAGAGGTGTACTTCCGTTGTGTCATGCTATCCCATAGGTGGGAAGGTAATGAGCCGCAGCTGCACCACATCAAGGACCGGGATGTATACAAGTTGGAGGCAGCTAGCGGCATCGTGAAGTTGCAGTCGTTCTGCAAAGTGGCCCGTGATGAGGGGTATCACTGGGCATGGATTGATTCATGTTGCATCGACCAAACTGACAAGGGGGAGGTCGATGAATCACTCAATTCCATGTTTACCTGGTATCGCGACTCGGCACTCACCATCGTCTATCTGTCCGATGTCCCGCCTTCATCCAAGTCCGGCGCACTGGCGAAGAGCGCTTGGAATACCCGAGGATGGACTGTCCCGGAATTCCTTGCTCCTAAAGTCATTCGCTTCTATCAACAGGATTGGACCCTATATCTTGATGTCCGCTCCCCTAACCACAAGGATTCTCTATTGATCATGCGGGAGTTGGGGAGCGCGACAGGCATTGATGCAGGGGCCCTTGTGGACTTCCAGCCGGGCATGACAGGTGCCCGAGAGAAACTGCAATGGGCATCGAAGCGTGTCACTACGCGGCAGGAAGACATTGCATACTCGTTGTTCGGCATCTTCGGCGTCCAGTTACCTATCTTTTATGGCGAGAAGAAGCAAAAGGCGCTCGGGCGGCTCTTGCAGGAGATTGTGGCTCAGTCGGGCGATATTACTGCTCTGAACTGGGTCGGAAAATCCTCCGAGTTCAACAGCTGTCTACCAGCGGACATTTTCTCATACCAAGCTCCGCCATACGCACCTCCATCTCTGTCCGAAGATAACATTCGGAGATTGGTCTCGTCACTGCGAAATGCCATGGCCGTGGAGTCGGCTTCAAATCTTTATTCCCTGTTTAAGAACATGAACCCTCCTCGTTTTGCGAGCCGCAGACTCCAGCTGCCTTGCATGGTATTCCGTGTGACTGAGGTCAGACGGACACCTGGTCAAGCCCAGGGGGCATGCTTCACATACGAAGTCGAGGCAGACGGACTTCGTGACCTGGTGGTCACCACGGAAAATGAGCTCATTGAGTTCTCGCGGGCAAGGCCCATTCGGCAGACATTCGTGCTCGTCCGCCCGTGGGATCGTTGTCTCCTCGAGCTGCCTGAGCCGTTTGGACTTGATTCGGAGTCCCACTCACGAGAGTTTCGATTGATGGTTCACCTTAGACAGCCTTTCGGCGCATTGTTGCTGGCAGAGCAGCGTCGCGGAGAATATAAGAGAATCGCATCGGATTACGATATCATTGCACAAGTCAGAGACATGGCTTCTATTGACGACATGATGGACGTTAGGCGACTAGAGATTTTGTAGTTGTATCATATAGGCATGTAGGATGGATATCTGTTGCGTCATTTTCATCTGTACCCTGATAGTACTTAAATCTTTAAGACTGGTGCACGCTGTATCTCAGTCAGGCATCGAGGGAGGCCTTCTCTTTCTTCAGTGTCTTCTTAGGGTTTGATGACCTTGCATAGCATCAGTAAAACGACCGGTTGCTTTTCTCACTTAATTTGTCACTTAATTACGTGAAAAGGAGCATTAAGTCATTTGAGTGAAGAAGTGCGAGTCACTTTATTAAGCCCACTCAATCTCTGAATTTTCGCTTTTTGTACACTTAATTCACTTAAAAAAACCAGAAAAAGCGGAAAAAGCATGTCATGAAAAGGGGTAGTATTACACATGAAAAGCTAATTAAGGAGACTCCCAAAAAGGGGACTTGCGGGGATAAAAGAGCAACAGCGACTCGGATATTCATGTAGATACAATGAAAACAAATCCTGTAGTAGTCATGGATGCCAGTACTAGTAGGATGAAACCTAAATAACAAAAACTTACAAAGCATAGCATCTTCATTGTCCTTGGACTCCTCATCATCAAGTGAGCTCTGGGATGGTCCAGATGTCTTCATAGCTCCTGGCCCACAGCATAATGGTAGGTAGATATTTCTTTGTCCAGTGTTGATTGACCTGCATTGTAGCAGGCAGATCAATTTTACAATATGCACTATGAGGCTTCATCTGTTCTGGTGTGGTATCCATGTTCGGCTGGTGTTTGATAGCAGGAGTGTCATGGGCAGGTGGGACAGATAAATCGACCTTGAGCTTTTTTTGAGCACATGGCTTGCTGTCAGCGACAGGAGTTGCCACAGATACCAATATCTATACAAGTGTCAGTGTTAGGTACCATGCTGGCTCAAGAGGCAGAGGGGTCAGGGCTTGGCTTCAGCTCTTGCGCTGCGCCCTTAGCCGAGTACGTGCCCTGAATTTGGAGCGGGTCCGACGTTGTCCGACGATAGGATGAATGGACCGCTTTGGTCTGCTTTGAGGGTCGGGGAGTAAGAGCTGCTAGTGGTGGGCCGACTAGGAGCGGAGTGGAGAAGATGGGGGATGATGCAGAGGGTGGATAGGAGCAGGGAGAATGTTTGTCGGGGTGGAGAAGGCGGAGGATGATGCAGAGGGACGAGGGAGAATATTTGGATAGGGGCGGAGTATATGGGAAAGACTTAGAGCATGGCTCTAAGTCGGAGCGGAGGGTCGGAGGGTCGGAGGATCGGAGGTGACAACAAGTTGAGACTTGTGTCCAGAGGAGGCAAGGTCCTACTGAGAATTCTCACAAGATGTACCTGCGAGAAGACAAGTAATATTAAGACTAAGGAAAAATATCTAAGTACATGATATGTTATATACTTCTATGTATGAGGCAGTGACCAGGATAACTATGTAGTAAAGCTATGTACCAAGGATATCATTTGTAAGTACTTTACATAGGAAAGACATAAGTCAGGGTGGATATCAATATGTACGCGTTGGATCAGTGATTGAGCAGTAATAGGAATTACCAGTGATCCAGAAGTAATGGTCTAAGTACCGAAAAGGAAAGGCATATATCTAAAAGGGGAAAGAGGTCCAGTTGAATGGAGAGGTTTATGGAAGGGGACCGGTTTGAGCGGTCGAGCGGAAGCGTAGGGCGGAATGCGGACTTGTGATAGGACGGAGTGGAGGATGAATGGGGCGGAGGGGTCGGAAAGCGGAGCGGATATTAGTATTGGAGCGGTCGGATCAGGTATATGACAGTCAGAATGAGCATTATTAAAAGTTCAGTACTTATGGAAGACGTTGTGCGAAGAATCTTCTGCTTCATGACCACAGGTTTGGGCTGAGGTGTGGGCTGCAAATACTGTTCCTGTTCTGTGACCAAAGTCACAAAGTTGTCATCCGACTCATACTCTACAGATGATTCTTTGGCTTGTTGAAGTCTGAGTTATCTTCAAATATCAAGGCTACCTGTAAAACAAATAATTAGTGAATACTGGCACTAATGATCAAATACTCCACCAGGGCATTTGTGAAGTCGGAGACACGGTGGGGGACACAGGTGTCCCCCTTTTCCCTAGTTAGTAATGTCTTACATAGGGTACTACACCCCAAATAGACAGAAATTGGATTTTTTTTTAAAAAAAAAGATCAAATAATGGCTGATTACCTTTGATTTCCCCTTGCCTTGTGCAATAGTGGCATCACGCTCCAAGGTATTGTTGTCGATGTCATCTGCAAAGCTGCCAACAAGGGCATGTGGAGTTTCAGTCACAGGCTTTCAAATTGGGACCTGGGTATCAGAAGTTGCTGCCATGGAAGCAGTGCCTTGTGAGAAAATCATCCTTTGCTTCCTTGAGGGCAAGGTCATTGACCTTCTTTTGTGCCTTGTTGTGCCTCTTGATCTGTGCGTCGAGCACTATCTGACCAGGCCGAGTGATTGTGGTAGATGGATGGGTGCAATGGGGACTCACTGTGGTAGACATTGCTGAAGAGATGAGGTTATGAGTCATGAAGGATAATACTTTTGCTGGGGCGAGAAGGAATGGGTTTGAAAGTTGAAAAACTTGTAAGCCCCCAAAAAGTATCAACTTGCACACACTAATTGGACTTTGTTACATAGTACATCGAACTTATTCGTTTTTGGCACGGCTCCCAAGGCATTATATTTGTGGTCCTGCCATTTTCTCTGTATTTTCTAGGATGCCCAAGGGTGCTGTGGCCCCCACCTTCAGATTCTGTGTGGTTACTTGGACTGTGAGTGATGCTCGGTTCCAACAACTCAACAACCCCCTCAACCTCCTCCAGAATTCCACCCTCACTCCTCCAGCTACACCCTCCCCAACCGTCCTCATCCCTCCAGCTACACCCTCCCCAACTGCCCTCATCCCTCCAGCTACACCCTCCCCAACCACCTGTCATATACTGGATCCGAGCACCTCCAATACCACCTGTGAACATCCCCACCCCTGGTCCGACCCCCTGTTTCCCCGTCCGCTCCATTCCTCCTTCCCCGACAATGCACGAAGTGCATCTTAGCAGGATTAGCCCTGCTACCTCTGCCCGACCCCGTTCCGCTTTTCTGACACTACCCCTATGTCCCCCGACCCCATACCCCTTCCATCCGACCCTATCTGGGGTTCCGCTCCTCCGCCCTATCGGTCCGCCCAATCCTACTCCTACTCCCTCTGCTTTTCCGACCCACGGGGGTCCTTCAGTTCCACTCGTATTCCCCCACCCAACTGTTAGTCCATCCGACCGCCTCACTGGTCCACTCCTAGACTAGTAACCACTCAACTGGTCCTATCCCCATTTAGTATCATAGTTCCGCTTTTCGGATCACCAGTAATTCCTATACCCTAGCGATTATTGATCCGTCGCATACACACTGTTAGCTGGCCTAGGGGATAGACTCCCTAGGTCAGCCACCCTCCGATCTTCCGATCCTCCAATCCTCTGTTCCCCCGTTCCCCGACCCTCCGCTCCTCCATTCCCCTGTTCCCCCATTCCCTCGTTCCCCCATTCCCCTGTTCCTCTGCTCGTCTGACTTTCCCGTGTGTCGGAACTAAACCCCGCACTCTCGCATCCATCCCCTCTATTCCACTCTGCTTTGGACTTTGTCCAAGCAGTTCCTTCCGCTCCGCTTCTACTGTTGGTTCTGGCCGCAGTAGTCTCCCACCTCCCTCCTGTCAGGCAGAACAACCCCCACCCGACTTTCCCGTGCTCACCTAGTAGTCCGTCGGTCCTCCTTCAGAGGACCCCCATTCCGACGTCCTGTCGGAACTCATAGAATTCATGTCGGACTACATTCCGAAATTAGGGGCATGTACTCGGGTAAGGGGCGCAGCATACAAGCTGAAGCCAAGCCCCTCAGACTCCGCTTTACCCCTGAGCACGGTCTTAACACCACCACATCCTCCCCAACCACTGCATCTGCTGCCACTGGCACTTCTGGCTGATCCACGATGATTGGCTGCCTTCGCCCTCGTCCCTGGTAGGTCTGTGGTGCCATTGTTGGCTGACGTGGTACATATTGGACTAATTGCTGTTGATCACATCAGCAATCAATGATCTACACAGCATGTAAGTTACTTACAGGATTTTGAGGGCCCATCTGCAAAGTCTTGATGGTGTTAAGATGTATATGTGAGTCGATAGTGTTCTAGTTTCGAGTTCAAGAGACTTACTTGATAATCGGTGTCTACTGGCAGTTTCTTTTTTTGGATAATATAGGCGACTCTTGCTAGTATACAACAGTATATATGACTCTTAGTAGTACTACCTATTGTGCTGAATTCACTTTTTTTAATTATCTAACTTGCGAGTTTGAGATGCACTGAATTTACTTTTTCAAAAGTGTACTAAGTTGAAAAAGCAATGTTTTTAGCTACCTTCACTAAAAATTAAGTAACATAAGCGGGAAAAGCAACTGGTCATTTTACTGATGTATCACATCATCAGGGCCCCTTGATCTGTGAGACACACTGGATGGGGCCGCTGGCTTGACCTTAATTACTTGGTGAGGTCATTTTGTGTGCCTGTCAGCAGCCTCAGGATTCAATAAGGCCAAACAAACATTTTCAATTCCTTTCTTTGTACAAGCCAGATATCTCAATATTGCAGAATGTTCGTGCCTTCATTGTTTGCGTTCATCAAGCACAGAGGGAAGTTGTCATATACCTGATCCAACCGCTCCAATACTAATATCTGCTCTGCTTTCCAACCACTCCGCCCCATTCATCCTCCGCTCCGTCCTATCACAAATCTGCATTCCGCCCTACGCTTCCGCTCAACCACTCAACTGGTCCCCTTCCATAACCTCTCCATTCAACTGGAGCTCTTTCCCCTTTTAGATATATGCCTTCCATATTGGTACATAGACCCTTACTTCTGGATGACCGGTAATTCCTATTACCGCTCGATCGCTGATCCGACACATACATATTGATATCTGCCCCGACTTATGTCTTCGCCTATGTAAAATACTTACAAACTATATCCTTGGTACATAGCCTTACTGCATAGTTATCCTGATCACTGCCTCATACATAGTAGTATATAACATATCATGTACTTAGATATTTTTCCTTAGTCTTAATATTACTTGTCTTCTCGCAGTTACATCTTGTGAGAATTCTCAGTAGGACCTTGCCTCCTCTGGACACAAGTCTCAACTTGTTGTCACCTCCGACCCTCCGACCCTCCGACCCTCCGACCCTCCGCTCTGACTTAGAGCCGTGCTCTAAGTCTTTCCCTTATTACCCCGCCCCTATCAATATCCTCCTATCACCCCTCTTCCCTATCCTCTGCATTATCCTCCGCCATCTCCGCTCCTATCAAAATATCTCCCTGGTTCCTATCCACCCTCCGCATCGGTCCCCGCCTTCTCTGCTCCGCTCCTAGTTGGTCTGCCACTAGCAGCTCTTACTCCCCGACCCTCAAAGCGGACCCAAGTGGTCCACTCATCCTACTGTCAGACAACGTCAGACCCGCTCCAAATTTGGGGCACATACTCAGCTAAGGGTGCAGTGGAAGAGCTGAAGCCAAGCCCTGACCCCTCTGCCTCTTGAGCCGGCACGGTACCTAACAAAACCCGATGCTGGCCAACATTTGAGAAATTGTGTTTTGGCTGAATCATCTGGATTAATTGGAGTTTGAATTTGGCCTCCGCTTATTGATATCCTCAATCAGTGATCAGAGGGTATGATATATTCCTCATCATGGATCATCAATGCCTAGCTGCACTCGTGATGAATCCTCAACTGCAGGTCCAGGACCAACTACTAAAAAGCCTCTTGCACCACTCTAGAGTTAGATGAGGACAGTCATCCATTAATAATTAGGAAGGAGGCAAGGTTCAAGCTCCAACATTTTGGAACGATGCTGATGAACCTTGCATACACTTCAACAAGCAAATGTTGGCCAGCATCAGGTTTTCAAACTAGCTCTAAAGGCATCTTCTGGGAACCATTATAATGTCATGGTGGGAATTCCCAGCCCACATATATGCTCAAGGTGGGAATTCCCAACTAACATAGATTCTTGATGTGGGAATTCCCAACTCACATATATTGTTGAAGTGGGAATTCCCACCTCCTATATATCCTCATGTGGGAATTCCCAGCTCACATATATCCTCATGCGGGAATTCCCAAGTCACATATTTGCTTAAGCGGGAATTCACAGCCCACATTTAATATCATGGTGGGAATTCCCAATTCATATATTTTCTCAAGGGGGATTTCCCAGCCCCTATATATTCTCAAGGTGGGAATTCCCAACACACATATTGTTGTGCTGGGAATTCCCAGACAGCCTATATTCTCATATTGGGAATTCCTAACTCTGATATATTCTTAGTCCAGGAATTCCCACACTTGCTGTATTCTCATGGTGGGAAATCTCAGCTCACATATGTCCTTATCATGGGAAGTCCTTGGGATTCAGTCTGTCTTCATCAATATTGCATAGTAAATTAATAGAGGGTTGGAGAAGATAGTACATGTGTTTCATCCCAGTCCTCTGGGTCTCCTTCCGAATCCAAATCAACAATCCAACATTCATTTGCTTCTTCCATTGCTGCCATCAACTCATTATCTCCTTCATCTCAGTCACTATCTTCACCTTCATCCTCTGACAACTCTAACAAGTCACTGTTCGTGGCATGCACAGTTTTCACATGATAAAGTGAGTGTGCAGCTCGGGCCATGTCCATAGCAGATGGTCCCCAGCTATCAGGCATTCCCCATGCACAGGGTATGGGACGCACTCTTGATTGCCACTCCACAGATATAAGAGATAGCTCTGTAGCACGTCTCTCAAGGTGCCATGCCACATCAACATCTATGGGTATAGATACATTAGAACACATGTACAATAAAGATTGAGTAAGCAACTCACTGGCAACTTCTCGAGCCCTCTGAAGTGCTGTCCACTCCATGATCATGTACTCCTGCATGATACAATGTTCGCGTCGTAACCTACCCTCCTCTTCCAAACAGCAGTCAAGGTCAAGTACAAGACAGATACCCTGGCGAACATTTTCATCAGAAAGCCATCAAGGTGGGTCTGCAGTCTCATCCTCCAGTCCTATGTCTTGCCAGACATCATCATCAACATCTAGCTGAAAGATACTATTGCATGAGATATGTTGGGGTAGAATAGCACCAGTAGGGGCCTTGCATTGATGTATCAGTGCATGCAATTGGTCGCACAAGGTGTTGTATGTCGAGACTATCTTAAGAATTGTGGGCTCTCACCATTTGATGGAGGTCTCTGTGTGACTGTGTAGATTCAATTCTATAACAATGTGAATCATTAGGATCAAGGAAGGATAATTAAATGTACCATTGACTGTATTTCGATACAACCGTTCCAATTTTTCTAGCTCAAATTTTCGTTGTTGAAGTCGATCTTGAAGTCGTATTTTGAGAGCGTGGGCATTCATGCGAACTTGAAGATAGACATTCTTCTTCAGCTTCTGCAGATCTGCATTCTCTGAAATACCTAACCCAGCACGTCTCCTCACATGAGTCTCAGCAACCTTGGCACATCAGGCACGCGCATCGTTGAGTTGGAGATTGAAGGTGGTGATGTCATTGAGTTGTTACTAATGAGCTGATGTTTGAGTTCATGTACAATGCTCTGGTGGCTTTCAAGAGTCTTCTCCAATGCAAGGACGCCCGCAATAGCCTCTGCAGCCTTATATTTAGATCCGCCTGTCCACAAAAAAAAATAAACACGACAGCCAGTCAAAGAAAATTCAGACAATTACTTACGAGCTATCAGCTTAGTCTGGTGAGCCACCTGGGCTGTCCACTCTTCTCAAAGGATGTCCTCATCAGTCCCAAGCTCCCTCAGTCCTTCCAAAGCTACCTTTTTCCTCTTCTGGCAGAGCATCCACTTCCGAGCCAGCCATTGCCCCAATGTGTTGAGGGACTTGAGGTCCAAGTAGCGCACTTGTACATCCAGTACAAACAACCGCTGGTGATACTGAAGGGAAGACAGTCAGCACCAGTATGATAGATACAGTAGAGTGTGACATACACCAGAAACTCGAAGCACTGGAATGAGATGCTTCAATGCACTCCACAGATGCTCACAACCCTCTCCATCAGATAGCCCAAACCCAGCGCACTTTTGAGGGTGGTAGAGAATTTGACAAGGCCACTGGTGACCATACACATGAAACATGGAGACTCCAAAGATGATACGTGACAGAATGGAGTCATCAAGGAGGCTCCACTTCCGACAACTATGTTCAAGCTGACATCCTATGTCATATAGCAGCCCCACCATCATATCAGGTGGTAGATGGTTGAAGAGCTGCTTCACCAATGCAAGGGAGTAATGCTGTTTCTCGCCGGCAGAGGTCATATTGACAAGCTACAGCACTTGATCATGTTGACAAAGCAAAGCCATTAGTCCAGTGTCTGCAAAAAAGTGTGTACTTGCCTTTTCGCGCTTTTCATCTGCTGCGACAAAGGACTCGCTGCACCCATCCAACATGGACACCGGTAACTTCATCCCATCCTCATACACATCATGAACCTCTTCGGCCAGCTGCCTTGGCTGTGTGGGCATCCCTACTCTACCACGGCAGCCATTGACATGATCCTCCATCACCTTCACATCACCTTCAGGGACAAAAACGGTTGGCATTGGATTAGGCAGATCTTGCATGCCACCATGTCATGGGTTGTTGGAGTGCTTTTGAGTAAAGCAAGCATCAATACAAAAAATACAGTCAACCCTGAAGATAATCAGTTAAGTTATTGTGTGAAATTTAAATAGCTTACTTCGTGTCAGGTTCACAATGCTGCCGCCAGCCACTCCCACCAAAGCAGAGAGGACAACGCGAACGAAGGTAGACACTCGGCTGACTCAGTGCTTGTGGTGTGTCAGGTTTTTCACGAGAAGGCACACTGTCTTTGCCAGCATGCAGAGAGTCCGAGATAAATTTCGTGATGTGGTCTGATGCCATTATGGTCAGTACGGTGTACCAGTGATATGCGTTGCTAAACCGGCATCTAAGACTGTCCTATTGACTGGAGTCAATGATATGAGACGAAGAGGAGAGCAATCATCAGACCTTGGTGTTCAAATTATAACCTCGCTCATTCAAAAAAAATTCCAGCACCTCACACCATGCAGTTGAGTTTGGGGTCATCCGTACAAACAAGTGTTTTTTTACCAGCTCCAAAACATGGATGTCCACCGCAAGGGATGGGGCGATGGGAGCGCATACAATTAATCCACGTGTCACTAGTTGGAGTGGTGCCAGGGAGCACTCGCAGCAGGAAATATTGACAACTTGTAATCCTATTATGACGAATGTAAGTGAATAGCCTCAGGGCACAAAAGACAAAACACACAATCAAAGAGTACACAAGTGACCGCCAGCGATCGCGGGCAACACAATCCACTGCAATGCGAGTCACCCCCAGTGGAGCAACCGAGGTCGGGGATGGATTGCAACGAAGCCGATTGCCGGATGTAGCCAAGGTAAGGACTGATGAGGGAAGGGATCACTTCTTCAGACCATCTCCACCATTGTCTTCGCTTCTTCTGTAGGCCAGACAGACACTGGCATGGAAGGTCGATTGGACCATCTGGCATATACAGCAAGTCACTGAAGAGAAGCTCGTCATCGATGAAAGGATCGATATCCAGGGGATCAGCGCCGATAGGGGGGTGTAGGTTGTTTTTATCATGAATAAGTGAATGTTGAGACAAAGATACAATGTTCTGGGTGAAATGCTGCCAGCCAGGTAGAACAAGAAGAGGAGGCGCAGGCCTGTGAGCAGCCTGAGGAACTCGGTGTGTCCAAACCATCCATGGTTCACAAATGAAAGGAGTCAGCTGTGAGTTGGTAGGAGTAATAGGTGATGGGTGATCAGGGCACAGATGGGACCATTTTGAAGGGACTGAAGAATCAGCTTCACGGGATCGTTTGGGATGCTGCACAGCCATAAGACGCGAAGTCACTGAAGTTGACACGTAGTCAGACTGACAAGGGTAAGGTAGATGTGAATGCTATCGTCAGATGAAGATGAGAGAATGACAAGAAAAACAACAACAGGAAAAGCAGCGGAACAGTGCTAGGTAGCAGTGGGAAAGAGATAGTGCCATGACCTTGAAGTTCTATGTGGTATGGAAAACCGGATTTAGCAAGATTGTGTAAATAGGGTACATGAAAATAATTAGACAAGGAAACAAAATTATGCTGAAATTAATGATGCTGACGTCTTAAATGTCAAATAATGTCTCAAAAACCCTCGGGCTGAATAATAAGACCAGTGTTAATTGTGAGTGGTGCCAGAAAAAAAATAACTCACCCATTTGAGGAAGGGTAGTGTAGGCCTCGTTTCAGGAAAGAAGGTAAACAGTACTCCCAAAAGAATCTTCAATTCCACCTGTCCAATAATGAGGGAGCAGTGCGGGCAACTTTCTAGATGCGAAGTCCAGGAGATATCTTTATCTTCCTAACCAAGACATTCAGTACATCTCCATTCTTGGGCGGATCGTGCGGTAACTGTCTCGCGCTTCATTGAGAATAAAAAAACAACTGTCCCATGTATACTCAGTCCAAGGCATACCGAGAAATGAAAGAGGAACATACCTTGAACTTGAGGTTGACTATGGATGGCATGGACCCTGGGCAAATGTCCAGGGAGAGAGAGCGAGGCTTGACAGTGGGCGCATCTACATCAAGGGAGTATGAGTATGTGGGTGATTAAGTGGAGAGAGACAGAATGAAACGGTTACACACACATTTGCTACCCTAAATACAGGAATTAGTGGAGAGGAGAAGTAGAAGAGAAACCTACCTTGAACTTGAGGTTGACTATGGATGGCATGGACGCTGGGAAAGACAGGAATTAGCGGAGAGAAGAGATAAACAAGAAACATACCTGGAACTTGAGGTTGACTATGGATGGCATGAACCCTGGGTAGATGTCCAGGGAGAGACAGCAAGGCTTGACAGTGGGCGCATCTACATCAAGGGAGCACGAGTATGCAGATGATTGAATAGAGAGATGAAGAAGGAAACGGTTACACACACATTGCAGGCTTCCCTCGTTGTCCTTCCTCATTGCCATCTATGAGTTAACTGTAAGCTCCATCAGATGTACAAAATGAAATACTCACCAATGTTCGCTCATCATCATTTGAAGATAGTGTATAAATTATTTGTGTAGATCACAATTAGACAGTGGTGACAGCAGAAGAGATAACTCACTCATTGTAAAGAGAGTAAGCCTGGTGGAGAAGGCAAATAGTACTCCCAAGAGAGTCTTCAACCCCACCGGCGCAACAACGAGAGAGCAGCTGGGGCGACTCTCAAGACGTGAAGTCTAGGAGAATGCTTTCAGCGACATGGAGTCAACTGATTGCAACGTGAACGGCACGAAGCCAATTTGAAGCGTCCAGGTATGAAGTCGGAGGTGGTGAGAGCTTGAAGCATTGGGGAGAAATCCATCGGGCAGAGACTGTGAAAGGAGATAGAGATGAAGTGGGGAGCTGGAGTGAAGGTGAAGGTTGACAACGTTGAAGTTGAAGGTTGGATGATATTGATAAAGGAAAGGAATAAACAAACAAAGTGATTTCAAAGCACAACACAATGACTCAGTAATTGCAAACATGAAGCAATAAAGATATGATTAACCAAATCTGGCACTGATAAGATTTGACTTGCGCTGGGAATTCCCAAGAATTCCCAGCACTGCTTGCACATCCTTTCTTTTCACCTTCATCACTCATCATCTTGCTCGTCCTTCATCTCCAAACTCCCACCTGGACCAAACTGGCTTCGTGCCGTTCACTTTGTGATCAGTTGACTTCGCGTCACTGAAAACATTCTCCTAGACTTCGCGTCTTGAGAGTCGCCCCGGCTGCTCTCTCATTGTTGCGCCAGTGGGGTTGAAGACTCTCTTGGGAGTATTATTTGTCTCTCTTGCACCACTTGTACTCACTATCTGCCTTGCAATTCCAATCATCTGTACGAGGTCCGTATGTCTTTACTTTTCTACACTTTCATCTTACTTACTATCCATCTTACAATTTCTCAAAGCTTCTTTGCAAGGTACGCGTTTGCTTTAATTAGTTTTAACACTTATGGTTTTTGCAGGCTCACAAACTTCCTTGGGACTACTCTACCTTTCTACCGCTACTTACCTTACGACCATACACACCGTCTCTCATCTGTCTTTGTAGTACGTGTTTATTTGAATCGATTTCAATGCTAAAGCACTTGCAGCGCCAGATTTAATAATCATGCCTACCGCTTGGGATAAATTTACTCCCTACATGCGTGCAGATCGTCAGTTTATCATTTCTATGCGATCTTCTACCTTCTCACAACAGATTTATAGCAACTATCACTTCCTTGGATGCAAGAGCCATTGTATATCAATATCCACTTGTAATCACTACTCCAAATATGGATTGGATACCGGAACTGCAGAATGACAATTTAGATGAACTGAAGGCTCGAGCTGATGGACATTTTGGAGTAGTTGATTGCTTCCAATGGCCGCAAATGTTTTGTAAGGAGTTTGAGTATGCTGTCTGCATCCCTTGCAAGGACACCTTGCCCTTCAGCTTTCAATTTGTGTGGTACACTCCCACTACAGCAGATTTCGTCATTCAACCTGGGACTGCATTTGCTGTTGGTACCTTACACTCCTATATCATCGACAGTATCAATAACTTACTTACAATTGCCCGCAAGCGGGTTGAAGCATGGAAGGTGACACAGGCAGGCAAGAACAACATAGTTAGCAGCATGCTCTTATCCCTCAAGCACGACATCAACATTCTCCGCAGACATCCCCTTACGTACCACAACATCATTGTCTTCAGTTGCTCAAGCGCAACATTTATTCCTCGACATAATAGCTTTCATGGATTATGTTGAGATCGTTCAACCTCGTCTCACCATGTTGTCTTGGTCATCTTGGTCTACCCTTCCTGGGGACCCAAAGTGGATGGGTTGTTTCACTGACGATTCAAAGACATGTGATACCTTCCTCGACGCAGGTGTGCCTGTGTGGCTTGTTCACAGTGGAGGCATATATTCCTCGCGACATGAACATCATCAAACCGGTCATACTCATGTTCCCAGACAACATCACTAAGAGTATATTTTCTGAACCTGGGAAAGTTGTGCAGCCGTTCCCCCTCCTGTATCGTGGCCATGGTGGCTTCAACCATCACTTTCATACCCGTCGGGCCTATGCTGGCACTTTTGGCATGAACCCATTGTCTCCGGCATTGCCTCAGAACCCGGCCAGTGGTAAAGTTCCCTCTCAGGGACAGCAAAATAAGAAGGCGCGAAAGATTGCTTTGTCTCAATTGATGAAAATGAGTACGTGTATAATTATTGTAATTAAGACTAGAACCTTACCACTTCCTTTAGAAGATTCCAAAACTAATGACACTCAACATAACCGGGACAAGTGAGAGGATCTCCACTGTCAAGAAAACCCTGAAAGCATCGGGTTCTGGCATCTTGCCTTCCAGAAAGCTGACAAGGACAAAGGCTGCATCAAACAGGGCCTTGTTGACCAAGGGTATTGGTTCCCTGAGCCCGCACTTCTCATTACACCCATGTTGCTGGAGCAGAAGAAATTATTTGTTGCGAACTGGCTCGCTGCACGACCACTGTGGATTAGCCACGTCAATCATAACCCTCCAGAGAAATTTCCCCCACCACAGCTTTGGCGTGACTTTCTCAACAGTAGCCCTTCTGGCGAGTCCTCGGCAACAGCTTCATTGTCATCGCAGGTCCCACTGCCGCAGCTAAGCGGAAGCAAGCAGCCCCCCAACAAATATTCAGTGAAGATTTGTTGGACGCTGACGGGAGCACATGGGCCATTCAGGCTACCCTAGTGTGGCGCAATGAGACCATATCTGTTGCATCCCTTAGCGACCCTCCTGCACGCTTGATGCGTCGCATCCTCTGGGAGCTTTACGAGCTCAACTTTCATTATGAACTTCAAGCTCTCAATCGAGTCATGGCGTGAGCATCGTGGGAGGACTCACCGCTTGCCTGTCATGATCTTCTTCATAGCATTTTCCCTGGAGAGGGTGGTTTTGTATCTCCTATACCTGAGGGGGATAGGGGTGGGCTGTGGAGTTGTGAGATCAGAGATGTCTTCCCCTATGTTGACAGCTTCTGCAACGTGTTGTCCAGCTGGGAGAATGCCCCACTGCACCTCAGTGCATCCCTGGATGCAAGTACGTTCAATGCCACTATGTACTTCAAGGTGATGCAACCCACATGCAACTTTTATGTGCAATGTTTCTTCGACCACTTCGGAAGGCCCCCCGTCGTTCCGCATCGTTTTCCCGCGTGATTTTGTTTATGTCTTGTTTGGCGATGTCGCTGTAAGCCTGTCTATACTTCATTCTATGGCATTGAACTGATACGCAAACGATCCAGTTCTCCGATTATGCCATGTCTTCAACAGACACATTTCTTACATACGTCATCCGACCCAGGCCCTTAGTGCCCAGCATGTGTATTTGTTAGCGCATGTAATTCATCAACCATTGTTCATATAAGGCTATGTAACTGTTGTTTTGGCTGACCCTGAGTACAGCGACAATGCGCCCCATTTTTCCATTTCCTAGTATTGACAGGCCTAGATCCCTCAGCCCAGACCAGTTTCCAACCCAGTTTCTGATTTACTTGCATGCTTGGCCCTCGGTCGAACCAGTGAAGTTTAACCCAGTCCAAACCTTCCAGAACAATGGTAAATCGTCCAGGGCACATAAAAAGTGCAGTCTTTACTTATGCCAGGTAAAATTTACCTCTTTTGCTGCCGTCCCTATTCATCTTGTGAAGCACTCTCATCACCCTTATATCTTGCTGTGTCTTTGTTTTTTACTCTCAAGTCTGACTACATGTCGACTATGTTCACCTCCTGTGACTTCGCGTCCTGGAACGCTCAGGCCTTCAGACTATGAGTCTTGCCATGCGATTTTTGAAAATGACAGCCAAAGTCGGCCCTCCTTGTGGTGCAAAAAGTAATCATAAATTTATTAAGTCTAAGGCATGTGTTCTATTTACAATTGAAGAAGATTCCTAACTCTTGCTTGCTTCAGCTGCCAGCACCCCTGCATGTCCCTAAAAATGGAGGCCATGAACAAAGCGCTAATGACAAGGATTCTGGCATATTCACAGTAAGCACAATGCGGTTGAATTTTGGTGCGACTCACAGATAGGATCATCCAGGATGATACCACCATTGTTGACTCGCCTTCAGAGCTGCCTACCATCAAGCAGGTCGCCAATGTTGATACCAATGCAATCCCTGACGACGAAGAGGTGGAGTCAGGTATTGTCTTCATTTTTTTTTGGCGGACTTTACTGAAGAGGTTCAGCAGTGCATCAAGGCATTGATGATCCCTTGGGTGGTGTGTTAGAAATATGTTATTGTATTATGGGACTCTAATGTCATACCGGCAGAGGCATCACCTGAAGACAGCGACTATGGCGACCAGGCTGAGTCCAGCTCTGACTGATGGTGATGCCAATGAATTGCCTACTCATGTAAATCAGGGTGCCAAGGGCACCAAGCCACCCCCACCACCTGCTCAAGAATGTACCCTATCGGCAGATGATACACCTACATGTCCTCTGGCCTGAAGGTCCAAGGGCAAAGGCAAGGAACTAACCACACCTTCACATGATGAAGATGCAGATGATGCGCACCAGGATCCACAAGACCCCAATGCCAACAATCACCTTGCGCCTGGCCGGCTCCTGGTGGAAGCAATGCGCAAGGCAATTGCCTTGGGTGAGCGAACATTTAAAGAGGCAACCGAGATTGCCAAGGAGTATGAAAAATCACCTGGGGCCATTCTGATTGCGGCCGGGTTATCAGTGAAACCTACTTGAACCGAAAACCCTTGGAACATGTACCAAGCATAGTACAAGATCAAGCACCCCAAGTTGTCTGACGGTGAGTAGTGTCCAGTACTGATTGGATTTCTGACTGATGTGAATATTTCAGTATCTATGAAAGACTGGCAGGAGGAGTAGTACAACAGTTATGTTGAGTGCCATGACCAGACAGAAAATCCTCTACTGTGGAGAGAGATTCGCGAGAATTTTGATGAGTGCTGGACTAACGGAGGCAAGTCTCCAAGAGCGATTGGCCGGCGCATGTTAGGTACCGTGCCGACTCAGGAAGCAGAGGGGTCGGGGCTTGGCTTCAGCTCTTGCGCTGCGCCCTTAGCCGAGTACGTGCCCTGAATTTGGAGTGGGTCTGATGTTGTCCGATGATAGGACGAGTGGTCCGCTTTGGTCCGCTTTGAGGGTTGGGGAGTAAGAGCTACTAGCGGCAGGCCGACTAGGAGCGGAGCAGAGAAGGCAGGGAGTGATGTGGAGGGTGGATAGGAGCAGGGGGAATGTTTGGTAGGGGCGGGGAAGGCAGAGGATAATGCGGAGGGACAAGGGAGAATATTTGAGAAGGGCAGAGTATAAGGGAAGGACTTAGCACAGCTCTAAGTCAGAGTGGAGGGTCAGAGGGTCGGAGGTGACAACAAGTTGAGACTTGTGTCCAGAGGAGGTGTTAGGTACTGTGCCGGCTCAAGAGGCAGAGGGGTCAGGGGCTTGGCTTCAGCTCTTGCACTGCACCCTTAGCTGAGTATGTGCCCTGAATTTGGAGTGGGTCTGATGTTGTCCAACAGTAGGACGAGTGGACCGCTTGGGTCCGCTTTGAGGGTCGGGGAGTAAGAGCTGCTAGCGGCGGACCGACTAGGAGCGGAGCAGAGAAGGCGGGGACTGATGCAGAGGGTGGATAGGAACCAGGGAGATATTTTGATAGGAGCAGAGATGGTGGAGGATAATGCAGAGGATAGGGAAGAGGGGTGATAGGAGGATATTGATAGGGGCGGGGTAATAAGGGAAAGACTTAGAGCACGGCTCTAAGTCAGAGCGGAGGGTCGGAGGGTCGGAGGGTCGGAGGGTCGGAGGGTCGGAGGTGACAACAAGTTGAGACTTGTGTCAAGAGGAGGCAAGGTCCTACTGAGAATTCTCACAAGATGTAACTGCGAGAAGACAAGTAATATCAAGACTGAGGAAAAATATCTAAGTACAGGATATGTTATATACTTCTATGTGTGAGGCAGTGATCAGGATAACTATGTAGTAAAGCTATGTACCAAGGATATAGTTTGTAAGTACTTTACATAGGCGAAGACATAAGTCAGAGCGGATATCAATATGTACGCGTCAGATCAATGATCGAGCAGTAATAGGAATTACCGGTCATCTGGAAGTAAGGGTCTATGTACCAATATGGAAGGCATATATCTAAAAGGGGAAAGAGCTCCAGTTGAATGGAGAGGTTATAGAAGGGGACCAGTTGAGCAGGTTGAGCGGAAGCATAGGGCGGAATGCGGACTTGTGATAGGACAGAGTGGAGGATGAATGGGGCAGAGGGGTCAGAAAGCGGAGCAGATATTAGTATCGGAGTGATCGGATCAGGTATATGACATGTTTCCACACTAGCTCTCAGTAATGGTTGCTATAATACCCCCAATCATGCCTACAATACCCCTAATCATGCCCAGTATTACCCCTGCTAATATGGTACAAAAATTGACCTGAAGGACCCCTGACACCACCCATGTCACAGGGAAATCCCATATAAAATATCACACAAGGATGTCCCAGATGGGCTGGGAAAAATAGAAACTTCGTCCCATATAATATCTCCTACCTTTGCTCCAACATCAGCCTTTGCCCCTGCAATATAATGGGAAATCCCCAGCAAATCATACCTCTTAGGGTAATTCATGTATACAGGAATAACAACCTAAGAGGTACCATTTTGGGGGTGACTGCACAATATGCTGTAGCCATAATGCATTAAATCTGGTACTTACCACACAACCGTATTGCATTAACAATGCTTGCTAGCCTGTCTGTAATGCATTAGAACATGCTAGCCATCAGAGCTGCCTCCCTAGTAAGCTCGCGCAGTACACTGGCTGTCCGCATATGTATTCCTGTCCTCCGGTAACTATATATTGGCAACTACATATTTTTATTCCCTGGCAACTAAAATCTGGAGACAGAAGACCATTCATTGCAACGAAGCGCTAGGCACGACAGAAGATTAATTACACTACAGAAGGTCAACTATACTAGGCACATGAAGTAGGCAGCATGAGGTCGGGGAATTGCATGTCATCCAGTGAGGGTATGGCGCCTGATATGAGGCTCGAGCTTGGAGGGGATATCTGGGGAAGGTACGAAGCCCACAGCACTCTAAAGCGTGATGCAAGCTGACATCGAATGTGTGCCTGTTTGTTAGCATATGCTATCAAGCCCTTGCGTTGAGCCGCTGTCTCACAGACGAGTCGGTCCTGCTGCTCGTCCCACCAGTTGGCTTGCCAATCGAAAAACTGTAGCACCCTTCGCATCTCCTCCTGTAACAATTCTATCTCCTCTGCCCAGCGCATTGCTCTTGCTCAGGACTTGCACCATTCCATGCGAACTCCTAGCAAAAGATTCAGAGACCACTGTCAGTAACAGCTCATAAAGATCAAATAAAAACTAACCATCCACGTCACCTCCATCGCTACCTGTATCCACACCCGTCATCATCCAGATCCATGTCAGGCGACAGCGACCTTCAGTCTCTCTGCTGAAAGGGTCCACTAATGGTTTCACATCTTTGTCCTTCAGGTCTTGCAGGCGTCCTCGCCATCCCACCTTCTTCAAGAGGGGTGCCAAGGTCTTCAGCGCCTCCCATGCAACTCTGTATCTCTTTGTGCATGCCACCTGCCGTATGTGGACACGAGCAAGTGCATTCTGAGCACGGGTGTTGGCGCCTTGACCACGAACCCACTCCTGCTTGAACGTAAGCATAGAGCAGTGCACGCGAAGGCACTGTCGAAGCTCTTCAAGCGCATCGTGGGCCTGTGCATACTGCAAATCCCATTCATGATCTCGAAGTCGGGAATCACATGGTTTGCCTTTCAGATTAGACGGTAACCACAGGCGGATGTCCTCAGCACTCTCAAATGGCTGACGAGGGTCGGGAACCACAGTAGCAGTGAGAATCTGCACTGCAGGCATGTACAGAACCTGCGCACTTCTCCATGTCTCGATTTTACGATGCAGGACATTCCTCATTCGTGTGAGTGTGCCCTTCTGCATATCATAAACGTGGAGACCCATCCCTTTGGATACTGCTCTCACACAACGTCTGTCCCAGGTGTTAGTTGCCTTCGTCTGGTAGCATTTAGGTAAAGCTACTTACTGCTCCTCCTCAAGGTCTAATCCTGACGCGATAAGAACACTTGGTGAGATGTCGGGGTGCAGAGATAGGTCAATTCCGCAAGTGAGTTCTTCAGCTTCCATCTGTGCAAGTTTTAGATGGGCTGCAGCTTGTGTAATTTCTTAATAGATGCTTCAGTAAATATAATTTGAATAGTAAGACAAAACTTACAGATTGACTTGCACTCGAGGGGGTTAGTGAGTGACGTGTCATTCGGGTTTTCCTCCCATTTCTCTATCTCAACTGTCCATGCTGACCTGTGGTCAGGGGAAATCGCAGCATTGAACTCCTGGAATGCAGCCTCGTGATCAGCCTTCTCAATGACAGCTTCCCGCATTTTATAGGCGAGAGATGCGCCTGATCCCAAAAACATCAACCAAACAAGAATAATAAGTGAGCGTAAACCACATACCTAAGCCGACAACTTTTTTCCAGTTCCAATCCCTGAAATGATTGTCTAATGTGTCCCTACGACAGCCAGGTCCCATTGCTTTCGTGCTTGATGCGACCGGATTTATATTGGACCAGCCACGTTCAGGCGCCTCCCCATCTGTATGGCCCACAAAACGCGTAAATTGAAAGAGAACAATGTCTGACACTTGTTGACGTGTGCCGGAAGGTGGAACTTGGGGATGAAGAACCGAATAAAAATACACAAATAAGATATATGGTATGATTCAGATAGTGACTTCATGCGACTCCATAGATTCTTGTGCCATTGACACGCGATGTCATATGACACATTCAGAACGTCGAGATGGCTGTTGCGGAGTGTGGAGAAAAAAAGGTAGTCCATGTTAATGTACCTAAGAATTGAATTAGTCAGAGCAGCTTCACAAGTGACACACGTACTTTTCCCCTTTTTGTAGGTCCCCGACACCATTTGGGCGCTTGAAGTTATGTTGCACGCAATTGACTGTCCCTACTCCAGTAGCTGCAAGGCCCTGTGATAGCTTTGTCTCAGCCATATTCACGGCATTATGGTTCGAGCAGGAACTTTTCTGTGGAGGTGTTGTCAGCGACATCTTGGACCAGGCTGTTTACATACCTCCTGTGTCTCGGACAAATGCTCCTTGAGGTGCGACTTGAACTTCTTCTCTTCTATGAAGTATGGCCATCCCTCTGAGAGACTTGGGTCCACTTCATCGCTGGAAATATTCCGTCTCTTCAAGTGAAAATTGGCATCAATAGCTACTGAACAACGAATAGATCTAAGTGCAATTAATGCATTGCTTCATGTTCGAAAATGATGAGAGACTTACTGCTTGGCTTTTGGCGCTTCTTTCCAGTCAGGGGGTAGATTCTTGCCAGGCTGTGGGCAAGCTGGACAGAGGACGGTGCATTCGCCCTCTTTGGTACCACTCACACTGACTGGATCATGACCACAGCCAAAATGTTTCAACATTTTTAGGTGTCGCCACTCACGAACCATACACATGAAGGATTCATAGCGGTCCTGAATTAGAGGTACTTTAGTTCATGCAAGATCAACCCAGAAATATGCCAACCTTCTTAATCAAACCAACATTGTTAGATATACGGACGAGCGAGTGATAGAATTCATACACGGATGCCTTGGACTCAAAAGACAAAATCTGGTAATGGTGTAATAGTTGGAAGGTTGCCGCTGTCCTTGGATCCACAGTTGTTGAGGGAAACCAACCCATGCGCAAGAGCTGTTTGGTATGAGTCTGGGAGGTTTCACAGCCACAGAAGTCAACCGCCATCTCATGTATTCCGTTTGTATCAACTGAGGACGAAGTTGTCATTGAATGACTTGCGAGGCAGGATACAACTTTCACCAGTCGTGTGCCCCAGATGGATCCTCAGACCGAACTTCTTGAGTGATGTAGCTATGAAAAATGACCCCGTCCACTCCTAAAGTGAATCAACTCTTGACTCGGCCACTCAGAATTAATACAGACAAACCTTGATGCGATGAGTGGGACACCACAAATGGTTGTAGACAGTGCAGTCTCCGCAGTATAGCTGCATGTCACAACAGTCATCGCATCGGAACAGGGCGGGATCAGAGCCACATTGGCAGCAAGTATCCAAAGTATAGTCCCCTCGGCCATCCATCCGAAGCATTTCTGCCAGATAGTCGTCACAACCGCTTAACCACACTAGAAGGGGATTATCCTACAAATAAAATCAGTGAAGCAAAATTATGACCAGCAAACACTTACAGCCGTGGTCCATTTTCGCTTTGATGTAGCTGGGACATCATCAATTGCATCCATGTACCCATCCATGTACCCAAAATCGGCTTCATCTCCAGCCCCTTCAGAAAATGCTGTCAGATTCAAGGTGAGAATCAGATTGTGATGCGCGTAGAATGTGCTGGTGGGAAGCCTTTATTCCACCCTTAGGGCGTGAGGAGAAAGTTACAGACGTGTAGTAGACGGAAGGTAGAGAGCTGGCTTGCGGAATGTACGCATTTAAGCGTGTGTGTTTGCGACGGCCGTTATGAGACATAATGTCAGGTGGCTGCACTGATTGAAGCCCTCGAAGGGCGATGAGTAGACACTGAAGTTATTGTTTATTTGGAGAATCCAGGAACTGGTATAAGCGCGTCATGCAATTATGGAAGCAATACTGGGAGTAGGCGCTATTTAGAGTGTGCTCCCTAGTGTAGATTTATATAAATCCATCTAATGACCAGAGAGTACTCACCAGCTGGGTAACACACCCACCACATTGCCACGGGTGACACAGTAGAAAGGTGGGTTCCAAGGGGTTTTCTTGCTACATGCCGGGATGTTATAATATACCCCCAGGTAGTGATGGAGAAAACATTCGTCAGCCATTGCGCTGGCAGCAAGAAGGAAACCAGTAGTGTGTTCATGGACAGCGACGATCTCAGGGTATTCTGCAGTGGAAGGCGCATTGTCAACGAATACGACCATAGTCATAGTGGTATACATACTTAGTCGATGCTGGAGTTGTTATATAGTGGTGAATCACCGGGAAGGTCACCAGAAGCCAAATTCTGCTCGGTGGACAACCATAGTCATAGTGGTATACGTACTTTCACCGGGAAGGTCGCCAGAAGCCAAATTCTGCTCAGTGGCTCAAGGGTGATAGCCTAAATAGTCGAGTAGCCTGAAGCTTGAAGAACAAAGCCTGCGATGTGTCTACATGACAGATGAAAGAACATTGCACAAAATAGGGAATTACATTTCGTACTCCGCAGATTAGGTACTTGATTCACAAATTGAACTTGCAAGCGTCGGCTGTATGTATAATGCAGGTGAGTTGCAAGTTTCTAACGCTCAATATACAGGTCCTACTCAACAATGACCTCCTCTGGCACTGATAGTCAAGTGCCTGTGGCGCCCATTGCTAGTCCTTCCAGCGGTGGTGTGTAAATACATTTGTTATTCTGTCTTTTCTAATGGTTGGTTTAGATTCTTTGACGGCACTCTTTGCTCAACTAAACATCAACGGCAACAACACGGTCTCATTGACCTCTGCCCTGTCTGTGGTCGTACAAAACGCAGTCATTGCGACTATTCAGGAAGTGGCTGCTGCCGCTCCAGTAGTCACCGTTGCAGCTCCTACTGCACCACCCGTCATCGACTTGATGGTCACCGTGGCATCTACTGCAACTAATTCCACCCCACCGGTAACTACCACACCCCCAGCCATTGTCGCTGCTGCTGTAACTCACACGCGGGCTCATCGTGGGGTGATTTATATCACTCCCGAGCCAAATTCCTGCCGGCCCTTTCTACTGGATCAGCTGTGGGCGTCGCATTGGTGTTGTTGCGACTTGGTGAGTGGTATTTTGACTTCCAGACTTTTTCTGATTAGTATTACAGGCAGTGGGCATCCACCTATGTGACCGGGGTGAGCCGTTCATCCTATTCCAGAATTTGCTCTGCTGCCGAGGGGATTAGATTGATTGAGGAAGCGATTGACCGTGGGGAGACCAAAGTAATTCCTTGAATACGTAGATTTCTTGCTCAATGTGTAGACATTAGTACCATGTATGAACACTTCTCTCGACTGGTGAATCATTTTGAGATTAATGCTGGCTGCTCGCACTGGGAAATCGAAATGTTGGAACACTTCAAATATAAACTCCTTGGACGAAACTCCTCCCTGCTTGTCTAAAGGGTTTCCATAATGGATTGACAGTGTTGGGAGAATAGATGAGCACTCAGTTCGTAGTAGACAAGATATTGTAGCATATCAGAAATTAATAACACAGAAGATAGTGGAGACTGCAGTCTTGACATATCATGGCAGTCATAACATCGAAACCAGTTGCTTGACAGCGATGAAATATCAACCAATATAATGATTACACGTGCACATATGAACTCTCAAATAAACGAGCGTGTTTTGAGTCGCAGTCTAAGGACGTTGCCTGAATCATCTAACCAAAATCCTGTTAAAGTTGTGTTGTGAGCTCAACACACCTCAAGACTGAGTATCATATGTATGAAGTCTCTGATTGCTGAATGTGACTGGAGCAGTTTGCTGTGTATTTTATTAGAATGACCTCGTTTATATGTCATATGAGATGTTCTGAACCAAAATCTCCTATAAATACCGTGTTGCATGAAACCAGCTGTATTCTAGTAGAAAAGACTATAGTTAAATTACTGGGAACAACGATAAGAATGAACTTGAAGCAGCAGACGAAACAGTGAGTGAAGATGTGAGGGGCCAGCAGGATAAATTGAAGTTGCTCATACTGGTGTTTGGCTTTGCACCCAAGTTTGTGTTTCCATAACTCATCGTCGTTGTGCCTCATTTACTATCCAAACACGGTGAACAATGGTGCGTCCCCTCATCTACAACACATCTGAGGAGAAGAAGAATGCAGCTCGAGTTTACAGAAGGACGTATTATGAAAGGTCTGGCATTGCTAATACATCTAAGCTGGGCAGCGCTGACCCATTTATACAGGAAGAAAGAGGAAATCAGCATCAAAATGGCAGCCAAGTACCGAGCTAAAAAGATGGTCAGCCAAGTCATGGATTCTGGGTGTCAGGTCTCGTCCTCTGCATCAGGAGGACACACGCAGATTCCGCCAAAGTTATCGTGAGTTTTAATTACTGTCACTTTCAACAGCTTGCCCACAACTCAACCATGTTCTTTTCAGCTGCTTAACCGTCAAGAAACTTTCACACCCTGTAATGTACTTCTACATCAATTCTGAGCAATATCATATACTGAACACCTCATGTTCTCCTAGTTGTGGTGTCAATGTCGCCGAGGCCAGCCTCCTGACTTGTTTGATATTCAACACACTGTACACGCAGATGATTTGGGGCCTCGGGGACCAACAGATTGTCCTCGCAATGCTTTCGGATCGTCTGGAAATACTTGAGTCCATTCAGGAATACGTATGGTCATCTCATGGGGGGAAGTCTCATTTCTCCGCTGCAATCACAGAGCGTCTCAGTAATCTGTCTCATCAATGCAAATTGGTGACTGCTGCCACCGAAGAGCTCTGGTGTTATGCAGCTGTAAGCAAGATAGATGCGGAGATGCTTACAAAATTCAGCCGAGGATCATTGCTATTCCAATACTTGTGACACCGCTTCAAATACAATGGTATTGAGAGTTACTTGTTTCAGTCGCCGTCACAATTACTCAAAATGTGAACTTCCTTGAAGCATTTGCCTGAACTGCAATAAATAGGCGTCGGGCAGCTTCATGCCCCAACTCATCTCAATCAATGTCTGTGTCAGTAAGTAATGCAGTCCTTGTGCACGTCGTTGCTGAATTGAAGGCAAACAGTCCTTACCGATGAAACCTCTTCCCCTCCAATATATCCAGGAGCAATTCCTTCTGTCTCGCTTGGACGAATTCTTCGCGATACGCGATCCGTCTCAACGGAGTTATTTCTTCAGGGCACTCTTTTCGTGTTGGTTTGCGCATTGGCCTGAAGAAAAAGCTCTGTTTCCCAGTATACCATTCCATAAACTTACTCCAGCGCAGTCGAGTGCAGTGGGTGTTGCAGTGAAAAAATGCCGCGAGGTTTGTGTTCTCCCTGTGGTGTTGACATACATGTACTCACCTGTTCACGCTCGCAGAATTTGATGCGATTTTACACCTCAGCGCTGAGACGGTATCCCAGATGTCCCAAGGCCTGTGGTTGATTTTTCTTAGAATAGTGTTCAGGCAATCACGATAGAATACTTCTTGTAACATTGGCGACCTGCAGATCATGCAAAGAACAAATTAAATTTTTATGCCTATGATAGAAGAAACTAGAGCGTGATTCCGAGCTTCTTGATAGGGCCACAGCACAGTAAACAACCTTGGCCCCTCGCATCGACCTTAACTTCCGTTACTGTTAACTGCTGCTAGCTCTAATTATTGAATGTAAGTGTCGGCACTACTAAATCATAACGCATACTCACCAGTGATTAGATGGGCTACAAGTGGACAACAAAAGACCAAAGAGAATTCCTGGAGACGTTCCTCCCCGAGTACCATGAACACATGGTCGACAAAACTTACGATCCAGTGCTGAAAAAAGCCTGGCGGGGATTCTTTGAGCATTGGCCAGAGCGCAGTGTCATCCTTGCGCACGTGCCAGCAGATCAAAGACTGACAGAAGAACAAGAAGAACACTTAAAAGAGGCGGTCAGTAAACAACAAGCGGTAAGCATGCTATACAATATGCGTCAAACACAGATTAAGCCTCACTCATCACAGCAAATCACAAGTTGGTACCGGTGGCAGAATAATGTGTCACGTTTGAGCCGTACCAGTGGGACAAAGGGGGTGCTCAAATTTGACATAGTGCTGGCAGGTGGGGTAGAATTGAGTGGTGCACGTGCCCCCAAGAAGATGCATATCTACTCACATGAGTATTATGCGAAGAAAGTCAAGATCGACGCGGACAAAGCTATTCATGAGGACGAACATCACTCACCGTGGCCCTAAGTTGAACAAGCGCCTTGCTATAACTCAAGAAAAGTTCGAGGCGGAAAGTGACGAGGTGAAGGAAGAGGTTGAGAGGAAGTATAGAAAGGCGAAAGCGAAGTTCGCTAGAGCTCGTGAGCGCTTGAAGGATGGTAAGATGCTGAAGGTTGATACAAATACAAAAGTCAAGTACGTACCTCCTGATTAGTCGTCATTTAAAGACTGGTGTTGATCATTGGTCAGGGCCATCCGGGAACTAGGTCCAATGCTGGATTGTGTATTCTGTTACCTGTCTCACGCAACCGGCGGCTGGAAGTTTTCGGTCCTCATGGCCGGGCCTGACCCCACAAAGGGTGGAACAGTGGTATATGAGTACGTCTGCTATATGTCAAATCACTTACGTCAACTTATACTGCAAATTGAAGCTATCACATAGGCGAACTCGGGAACAGTGCTCAATTCAACACATTTTGCGACAAGTTCGATGGCATCCAGCAAGCATTCTTGGAATTTACTAACAGCGCGCTTGGTAAGTGTCATTTTCTCAACAACAAGCTGCAACTTGAACACTCACCGTATTATATAGCATTTGAAGCTACTCTCCCTCAAGACGACGACGACGACGACGACTCAGAGAGCGATGACAACACCGATAATGAGATGAACAGCATTCCAACCAATTCAGTGGAGGACACAGCTGAAGCTGGCAGCAGTGGTGGTGTTGGTGTTGGGGCCTCGAACTTCAACTTTCACACAGACGATCTATACAGGATCTCACCTGATTCGTTCAACAACAAGTCACAAGAGGTAAGTGATGCCTTATTCATCTTTGTAACACAACGTTACTGATAACAGTTCTTACCACACATTCAGCTTTCTGCATTAGCCAATAATGCACGCCTGGGTCTCTTGTCGCATGAGGTAAGTCATGCATTGCATCTAATGCATTATTACTGATATGATACATCACTCCCGGTTCAGCAGCCACAGTCTACGTTACCTGATGCATTAGCCGATAATGCACGCCTCGGTTTCTTGTTGCATGAGGTGAGTCATGCATTGCATGTAATGCATTAATACTGATATGATACATCACTCCTGGATCAGCAGCAGTCTATGTTACCCGACCAATACTCCAACCTCAATTTCGACTTGGACCCCAACATACTAGCTTTGATGGCTGGCGGTGATGCTCAGATTCAGTTGCCTCCCCTGAGCCCTTTCACCCCGGGATCTTCAATCACTGCTGACGGCCTCGACGATGATGCCCAGATCCAAGCGCATCACTCAAATCCATTCACCCCGAGCTCTTCAATCTCTGAGCTGCCACTTGTATTACCTCCTCCACCAACTCCCCCGCAAACACCGCAAGTTTGTCTGCCTCTGGTTCCCATTGAGCCCATCCAAGACATGGATCTAGATGTACCTGTGCCTTCTTCCCCTGCTAACCAGCGTCAACGTGCAAGGGCACCTGCAGCACAACAGCAGGTGCAGCTTCAAGAAGACGAACCTCGTCAACGCTGCGCACGCAATGTTGCCTTCAACAGGCGTGAGCTCGACAATGCCATTGGCTCTAACTCCAGCACCAAACAGAAATGAGGCCGTGGCGACGATCTAGGCTCGAAACAAGTATGTTCAACATCTTCGTTATATTCAATTTGTTCATATATCTTTTCATTCCAGGAGACCCAAGCGAGGGTAAGTATGGCATGTTGGTATTCATGGTGTATTTAGTTTTGATGATTTTGCACTCTTAAACGTCTTTATACACAGTACGACGTAGTAATACTTGTTCGTTTACTTTAGTCGCGACATGTCATGGTGAATCTAATAATCTACATCGAATTGATATATATATAAGTGTCCCTTTAACAACCAAATATATATGTTTTACCCTGTTCTAATGGAAGCCGTCGTGCGCTGGGACTTCAAAAAATCGACATGTACTGGACGTGACTGGGACTTAGAAAAATTTAGCCCATTCGGAGATTTCCAAGTGCATGGACTTGAACGGATTGTGTCATTGAGTCAAGCAGTGGCCTAAAAAAGGATGTCAGGCCTCGAGCCGTGAAGTTAAACTCAATTGACGGCAATCGAACAACCAGAAAGGATATGAGTAAGAATAGAATGCAATGTGGGGAATGAGAAGTGAGGGGGCTGCCAGGAACAGGGTTATAAAGGCAGGGACCAGCCTGGACCAGGAATCCAGCTTTTGAAGACCGACGGTACATTACACGCATTAGGCAATATGTACACGATTTGAAGGCTAATGCATTATAATGCACCTAATGCATTACACTGCCGGTTTGGGTGAGAAGTAATGCACCCTAAACTTAGCATCGCACCTGCATTGCTCTATATTGACACTTACCATGTAATAATGCATTAGAATGACAGTATAGCCTGGTGACTGAAGTGCAAGTTGACAATATTCCTAGCATCATTCTCTTCGATATCCTACTATCTCTCGCATCGCAAAGGATTACCTTGCTATTCAGGGCTCTGCCATTGCCTCGGAACGAGCTTTTTCGAGCGGGGGCATCACTGGGACTTCACACCACAATTGTTTGTTGCCGTCGACTTTTGAGGCCCTTCAGCTGTTGAAGAGTGGGTATCGTCAAGGCCATATATCCGCGACGGCTCAAGCTGAGTTTGCCGCTGCTCGTGAATACTATGTTGTGGATATGGTGTAGTTAGTAGTTACTCAACGAATTTTTCACGTAGTTCTCGCAAATTTTTGAAATTTATATGTAGCGTTCGGACATTCGAACGCGTTCTGAACTCGAACCGAACGTTTGCGAACGCGTTCATAAGGGTCCGGTCCAGCGTTCGCCCTCCTTGCCTGAACCGGACCCAAGGTTCGGTTCTAGGTTCGACAAAACACCCTCGAGAACCGGACCGGACCGGACCGCGGCAGCACTAGAGCCTCACACTGACATCTCGGATCCTTCGGACAGCGCAAGTCATCATTCGGATCGTTCGGAGTTCAACAGTAAGACCCTTTATTAGTACCGAGAAGTGCTGCCTGAGGTGATGATAACCCGGTTGCATTTGCAAAAAAGGTGGTCTAGACACTGCCTCATATCTCGGGCGTCTAATGATATGAAAGGCACATTGATGCTGCGCGGTAGCATAACAACACGCAGTACAACGCACCTCTGGTTATTTAAAGCAAGACACCGTCAGTTCTACAGCAAGTTCAACTCTGCCGTGCTCACTCACCATCAAGCCCCACTAGAATGGCGGAAATCACATGCGTTCGAACGTATGAAGGTCACAAAGAATCTGTACTCGCAGTCGCAATTTGCCCCAATAGACCACATATGGTCACAGGCTCGGAAGACAAAATGGTTCGTCTGTGGGACCTGAATAAGGGTATTGTGTTGAAGAAAATGGAGGGGCATCCCGCCTGGGTACAGGCAGTGGCGGTATCGCGAGACGGAAAATTGATAGCAAGCGGTGATTACTGGGGAGGGCTCTTCACCTGGGACGGAGACACTGGAAAATCTCTCAAGAAAATCGTCAAAGCACACTCTAACATGACCTGTTCGTTGGATTTTTCTCCGGATGGCACAACGCTGGCGAGTGGTTCATCAGCAGATAACGCGATGAAATTGTGGAGCACAAAGACGTTGCCAGGAGGGAATCCACTTAGCCTTGATTGTGGCGATCGGGTCACCTGCGTTCGGTATTCGCCATCCGGCGAACATCTTGCCATCGCAACATTCACAGATGTCCAAATATGGGATCAAAGCACGAGGGAGTGCATCGCAACTTTCACCGCTCACAGTTCGACCTCGTTTCCATTCGGACTTGTATTCGGCAAGTCACTCGCGTGGTCACCTGATGGCACTCGCCTTCTGTCAGGGGGAAATATTCTTGATCCTACTATACGAGAGTGGGATGCATCGACTTGGCAGCAGGTTGGTGATCCCTGGACGGGCCATACCGAACAGATCAACGCCATTGCCATGCATGGCACACTTGTCGCCTCCGCATCTGATGACAGGCATATCCGCCTCTGGCGGCTCTCCGATCAAGAAACCATTGCCATATTCGACCATTCTTGTCGGGTGAACTGTGTCACCTTCTCCATAGATGGCAGGCGCATCCTCGGTGGGGGTGAGGATAAGAAAATCTCTGTGTGGGCAGTACCGGAAGATGCTTTGCTAGAGGACGCTCTAGAGGAACCGGCATCCAACGATGTAAGTTCGCAGTACTAATTTGATGTCTCTTCATCTTCTTACCTTGCATTTAGGATGTCCCATGCACTTCGTATTTTTCCCCGTCTCTTCATCATCTCATCTCGCGCAAGGATGACACTCCAAACGAACAGGCTTCCAACAAGGCGAGTTTGTGTTCATGTCCTGTTCATTTGTCTTCTTACCTTCTGTTTAGGATGCCCCAAATAGTGAACAGCTGCACCAGCAGCGATCTGAAGCAGAAGGTGCTATTCAAATGGCGATTGATACTCACCTTGACAACGCCCCACTTCGTCTACTCCACACAACCACCGGGCTCTTATGTGACCGACAGACCCAGATAAGCGCCTTCAAAACGCAAACAGATTACAAGAAGCTCCTGTCGTTAATTATCAAACGTCCAGAGCTTCGAAAAAAGCACACCGAGGAAGTGGTCGCGACGTACTTCCGTTGGGCCATGTTATCCCATAGGTGGGATGGCAAGGAGCAGTTGCTGAGCGACATTCGGGGGGAGATTATATACGAGTTGGAGGCAGTTGGCAGCGTCGTGAAGTTGCAGTCATTCTGTAACGTGGCCCGTGATGAGGGGTATCACTGGGCATGGATTGATTCATGTTGCATCGACCAAACTAACAAGGGGGAGGTCGACGAATCACTCAATTCCATGTTTACCTGGTATCGTGACTCGGCACTCACCATCGTCTATCTGTCCGATGTCCCGCCTTCATCCAAGTCCGGCGCACTGGCGAAGAGCGCTTGGAATACCCGAGGATGGACTGTCCCGGAATTCCTTGCTCCTAAAGTCATTCGCTTCTATCAACAGGATTGGACCCTATATCTTGATGTCCGCTCCCCTAATCACAAGGATTCCCTATCGATCATGCGGGAGTTGGGAAACGCGACAGGCATTGATGCAGGGGCCCTTGTGGACTTCCAGCCGGGCATGACAGGTGCCCGAGAGAAACTGCAATGGGCATCGAAGCGTGTCACTACGCGGCAGGAAGACATTGCATACTCGTTGTTCGGCATCTTCGGCGTCCAGTTACCTATATTTTATGGCGAGAAGAAGCAAAAGGCGCTCGGGCGGCTCTTGCAGGAGATCGTGGCTCAGTCGGGCGATATTACTGCTCTGAACTGGGTCGGAAAATCCTCCGAGTTCAACAGCTGTCTACCAGCGGACATTTTCTCATACCAAGCTCCGCCATACGTACCTCCATCTCTGTCCGAAGATAACATTCGGAGATTGGTCTCGTCACTGCGAAATGCCGTGGCCGTGGAGTCAGCTTCAAATCTTTATTCCCTGTTTAAGAACATGAACCCTCCTCGTTTTGCGAGCCGCAGACTCCAGCTGCCTTGCATGGTATTCCGTGTGACTGAGGTCAGACGGACACCTGGTCAAGTCCAGGGGGCATGCTTCACATATGAAGTCGAGGCAGACGGACTTCTTGACCTGGTGGTCACCACGGAAAATGAGCTCATTGAGTTCTCGCGGGCAAGGCCCATTCGGCAGACATTCGTGCTCGTCCGCCCGTGGGATCGTTGTCTCCTCGAGCTGCCTGAGCCGTTTGGACTTGATTCGGAGTCCCACTCACGAGAGTTTCGATTGATGGTCCACCTTAGACAGCCTTTCGGCGCATTGTTGCTGGCAGAGCAGCGTCGCGGAGAATATAAGAGAATCGCATCGGATTACGATATCATTGCACAAGTCAGAGACATGGCTAGTATTGACGACATGATGGACGTTAGGCGACTAGAGATTTTGTAGTTGTATCATATAGGCATGGAGGATAGATATCTGTTGTGTCATTTTCATCTGTACCCTGATAGTACTTAAATCTTTAAGACTGGTGCACGCCGTATCTCAGTCAGGCATCGAGCCTTCTCTTTCTTCAGTGTCTTCTTAGGGTTTGATGACCTCGCATATCACATCATCGGGCCCCCTTGATCTGCGAGACAGGACACTGGATGGGGCCGCCGGCTTGACCTTAATTACTTGGGGAGGTCATTTTTTGCGTGCCTGTCAGCAGCCTTAGGATTCAATAAGGCCAAACAAACGTTTTCAATTCCTTTCTTTGTACAAAGCCAAATATCTGCAAATAGCTCAATGTCGCAGAATGTTCGTGCCTTCATCGTTTGCGTTCGTCAAGCACGGAGGGAAGTCCCCTTTCCAATGGGAGTGAATCTCATCCCCGAGTATGAAAATACCATATGCACATGATAGATTTACACAAGAACGCTGAGACTAATGCAACGACTCTGTTATTTAAGCTACATAGCCGAGCTGATGTTCAATTCAGAGGGCCGATAGCATGGTGTGGTTCACATATTACACGAAGCTGTTCCCGTCCAACAAATATCGCTGAAAACTTGCTGCAAGAAGTCGTTCACGACCGACTCGATCAAGCGAAAGAAAAGGCAGTCAGCTTTCATCCGAACTAGCTATATCTAAGAAGGGGGGGAGGCCGTCGGGCTATCCGCATCCGATGCGTATGCAGACCGAGATAAACGTGGCCTGACAGTGAGAAGTAGAAATGGCGTACGTCAGATCATTAGGACTGAGCAGTCAAATCCGATGAGGGGAAGAAACAACAGCACATTCCCAGATTAGCACGGATCGTTACATCCGGAACGCTGTGGCGAAGAAGGTTGGACACATGTACAATTAAAGGCGTATGTCATGGAGCAAGACACGATTAATAATGACCTCGTTGCAGCTTAAAAAGGAGGGTTGAACCTCGTGTCACGGGCGTTCAATGAAACACGAGGCAGGTGCACAAAAACGCTAAGTACACGCACCGCTACAGCTTTGAGCAGGACACCATCCGCCCCTACATAATAAGTCCACCTCTACCGCGTTCAACGACCCGAAGGTCCACCACGATGGCAAAAGAAGTAGCGCAAGTCACCATTGGAAGTTGCACACCCGTTCGAACCTTTCAAGATCATGAAAATACCGTATTTGCAGTCGCAGTCTTCCCCGATCGTCGTCGTATGGTGACAGGCTCAGCAGACAAGATGGTTCGTGTATGAGACTTGAAGGAAGGTGTCATATTGAAAAAGAACATGGTGGGGCATCGTGACAGCGTGCGTGCAATCGCGGTATCCCGAGACGGCCAATTAATGGCAACCGGTGATTTCAACGGGGAGTTCATTGCCTGGGATGGAGACACTTGCGAACCTCTCACGCAACCCATCAGAGCCCACTCCCATTGGTTTTCACCTGGACCCAATATCAGCTCACAAGACTTTTCCCCAGACGGCACCGTGTTGGCCACTTGTTCATGGGAAGGGTCGGCAAAGCTATGGAGCACGAAAACATGGCAGCTCCTAGGAAAATTCCGTGACGGTTCACCTTTAAATTTCATTATCGCCCACTGTGTTCAATATTCGCCGTCTGGC